AAATCTCCAGGCCATTTATGTGACTGCACTCAAGTCCGCAGACAAGGTAAAAGTTATCAGCTGCAATGTTTGCTTCTGTTGATCCTAAGATGCTGCTGTCCACCATTACAGACAGTCTCCTGTAAAGCTATCAGTACTAGGTCATCCTCAGTCAAGAGGCACAGAAGCCTCTGATGCTGCCACTGCCACTACGCTTCTACACCAGAAAAAGGTAGAATTCAATTAGGCCTAAGGTGATGAAAAATAGTGGAAATCACTTTCCTTCCTGTATCATCCAGTCCTAAACACTCAAAGATATATTCCGTTGCATCTGGGAATCCTTTAGATGCCCTCAATACTACATGTTAAATTGGAGAGATTCCTTGAGCCAGGTACAGGACTGGGACAGAGGTACTATTATCTCTTGTGTATGGTTTCTGAAAATGCACAACAAGCAAGTGTAACTCTGACCTGTTCTCTCGTCCTTTACACAGGATTCAATCCATTATCTACAACACAGGCTAAACCATCTATTTCTGAACACGTCGCAGGCACCTTAACACCAGTACAGACCCTGGTATCAGAAATCCTAGCAGTATTATCTGCACAAGGCAGGAAAATGATGTGAATTTATAGGATGCTGATATCCAGAGAAATAGGAGAGGCAGTACATACGGGATCCACAGCAATGCATAGAAACACACTGCATACAAGCGGTTACAGGAATTGCTAGGAGAAACAAATATGAGCATACAGCTTTGAAAAAAGGAACCTGCATGGTTTGACAGAAGGACAGTCTTGCCCTTTGGCTGAATACAGCCAAATATGTATGACTGTCACCGAGAAGTGTCCATCTCTTCCTCGACAACACAGTGCTAGAAAATGAACTGTTTCTCATTCGTACAGAGAACTTTCCACATCTTCAGCAACTTGCTACCTTCCTGAGGAGGCATGGTGCTCAAGTGAGACTCCGAGTACTACAAACTATCAAAAGCAGTCCTTACAGAGTGGTGTTTGGTTACTGTTCTACTGGCAGTCTAGGGTTCAGAGTGATCAAACACCTATGGCACACTCCATTATATGCTGCATTACAGCTCTGCAGCACTACTCATTTTAGCATTCACTGAGTGAATATAAGCAAGCAGTCACAGATTACTGGAGTCTTTACTGTACAAACACTCACTGAGTAGCACCCTTCTCTGGATTCAACTACTAGGACTATCAGAAGAGCTAACTGTAGGCTCCACTTTGGGAATAACACTTCCTAAACCGTTTTTTTGTCCCCCAACTTTTCTCAAGTTGCAACTGTCTTGATATAGAAAGGGGTATTTAAATGTGATAAAATGTACAGAATGGAAACAATACCACACAGACTTGCCTACTCAGATGATAAGTTTTTTGGAACAAAGTCTTTAAGGAGGTATGACTATCCACCAACCTGGGCTGCAATATGCATTGCAGAGACTGTGCTGCATGCAGCCCAAAGACTTCTCCAAGCTCCACGCAGCATCAGAGCTCAGTAGGGGACACCAATCTACCCTAAATTGTCTTGTGCTGCCAAAACCTTAGTATTGACCTTTTGGTGAACATAAAACTGTAGCATCTATTTAGATCACTACTTTCCGAGACCATTTGTCTTTCTACTCCTAGTCATCTTTACTCCCTCTTCAGGAGTTTCAGAGGCTTTTGTCTTTTACATTATTATTATTATTATTATTTTCATTATTTATGCTTCCGTGAATTTTAGTTTTCTTGAGACAAATTAAACTCTTTATTAAAAATGCCTCAAATTTCACTGAAGGAATGCTGCCATAAACAAAAGGCACACTCTTCTAGAAGTCAAAAAGCAAGACAGTTCCAAGAAAAAGTCAACATGGTGACCTCAAATTTGTGCCAGACACAAATTTTAAAAATATTCTAACTCAGCTTATTATAGCTGTAATTTGAAATAGCATTTCATTGCAAAATTTAAATACTGTTGGACAAACTTGCATTAAACTGATCTATGGCACCATTTAAAAGGTCTCTGGTTTAAATCTGGTGGTTTCCACGAGGGATAAGGTGGATCTCTCAGATGCTGATATACGTACAGTCATCAGGTAGGTCAAGATGCTTCCACCACACAGGTATGAGATTAGAACTCCTTTAAGACAAATTTACCTCATCATTTTACTGAAGCATGAATAAAAATCAAAATGAAGAGCAGCAGTAGAACTTTCAAGAACTTCTTGAAGCTGAGGATTTTAATTATTTGAAGTCTTCTATGGCATAATGGTGATTGCTTTTATAACAAAATCCTTGATGCTATCTTATTTCTTCTATTACAGCACAACATTTAGGTCATGTAACTGTTCTAGAGTTTCCGAATATAAGCAACTGATTATTCACAGAACTAAATGGGTGCAAGGGATGCATATACTCACATCCACTCACTTATTTCCAGTAGCCCAGACAGTCTGTTACTCACAAAAGGTTTGCATTCGATCCTACAAAATTTTCACAAGAAAAAATACATATCATGTTATCCATAGTACTTAAGGTTTTGAGCACTATCCTTTTTCAAGATGTTATTACTTCTCTCTATCTCCTTAAAATCCTCAGCACAAATACTTTTTTGAAGCCTCTCTTGCACACTCTTCTTCTGAATCAGCAGACCTTCTGAAGCATTTCCATTTTTAATAAAACAATCCATCTTCTACTGTTCAATAATTATACACCCAAATGTACTGAAGTCATTAAATAGATGTTTATTTTACTTGACCTTGAAAAAACATAGATTCCTCACCATACCAACACAGGAGTAATTAGTGAAGTAACTACTTCTGTGTATGTGACTAGTAAAATACAATTCTATGTCTCTTTCTTTTTTTTTAATAGAAAAATTAGAGAATGAGTAGAAAAGAGACACAAAAAATAATCCAGGGATGTGGAAAAAATTATAATGAACACCATATAAATCTTTAGCTTTAAGAAAATAAAAACAGTTTGAGAAGTAATCTGATTACAGTGTAAAAGCACCTTCCTGGAGAGAAAAGAGTGAGTACTAAAGAGCTCTTTAATCTATCAGAGAGAGGCATAACAAGAATCAATGACTGGAAGCTGAAGGCAAACAAATGCAAATGGAAATAAGGTAGAAAATGTTTAGCAGCAGGAATGATTACCACTTGTATTGTCCCAGTACCTGGTAGCCAAGTCATGGATCAGGGCTCCCTCACACTGGGTGCTTAAAAAAAAAGAGAAAAGAAAGAAAGAAGAAAAATGAAATCTAGAAAAGGAAAACAACCCCTGCCAAAAGATTACAATCAGTGCATGAGATGAACTAGCATAATAAAATCAATCACAATATCACGCAAAGGACAGGCAACATTTTCAGGGCATGGTTTCAAGGTACAAAGCACTGGGCTGAGATTCCAGCTTAAGGTGTTCTGCCTTGCCAACTGATTGTCCCCACAACTTCTTTACAACAAAGAGAAAAATTGATTCATTAAAAAGAGGTGTTAAAAGCAAGGGCTCCATTTTTTCTTTACAACAAAATGCCAGTGCAACTGAGGTAATTTTGCAAGTGTTCTGATTTTAATGAATTTCAATGAATGCCTTGGCCAAAATTTTCCTACCTGTGTATCTCACTATCAACTCCAGAGCTGTTTACAGGACATTTGAATTTGCTGCTTTGCTTGTGGGCAAAATCCGCATAACCCAGAGGAAAATATCCAAAAGCAAAGCATGAGGCTGTTTCATTTTCCTCACAGAAAATCACCAGCCCAGTCATCAAATCTGTGAGGATAAGACAGAATATCAACCGAAATTGAAACCTAGCTCATGGCTCAGAAAACTTCTCTGGGGCAAAGTAAACAAACCAACCAACCCAAATAAACATACTGACAACCCTCCTCCTACCCTCCAAGAAAAAGAAACACACAAAATCAACCTTATTATCCTTATCAATTGCAGCCTAAAAGATAAAGAGATCAACTTGTGTTTCCTGATACCACTGCTCTGCCAGTAGGGCCTACACAACACCTGCAGTAGTTCACAAACACAGGAGGCCACTGCTGTTGGACTGGGAAGAAAGGGGAAACCTGAGAGCGATACTTTTTCTAACGTTATTTTCCACGTATTTTTGAGATCAAGAATCACATGGATTACCCCGAAACTCAGGGAGGAAGCTGAAACACCTGAGCAGTGCCTTCTCTTATTTTCTGTCAAAAAGCACGGATAGCAGAAAGCACCTTTGATTTCCATTTTTTTTTTTTTTAATTGATGCTATTGGCAGATTACAGCAACACACCAAACACCCCCAATGCATCTCACACCACAAAGCCCCTAAAGAGCTCATTTCTAGGGCTGGGAATGCTCAAGAGCAAACAAAAGCAAAGGTAAACTCTCCACAGACAGTCCCTAAGACTCAAGGGCAAACAGGTCTACAACCTGCGGCTTACTTCCCTTCCTCCCTAGCAGACCAGCCTCCTCCTCTTGGTTGATGCTCTGTATTTCACCGAGCTGAATATTCATGTTCAAATGCTAGACAGGGAAACAGTTACAACTATAAATAAAAGCATTCTTTTTTTTCTTTTCTCCTTCCTTTTTAAAAATATTCTAACACGGCTCATTATAGCTGTAATTTGAAATAGCATTTCATTGCAAAGTTTAAATACTTAACAGCTTTAATATTTGGCCTCATCCGTTCTGTTCAAGTTTTCCACAGGACCGCGGCTGCCCTGTGTGTGCAGGACACACGCTGCTCAGGAAATGAATCAGGGTTGTGCATCAAATTAGATTATTTATAGGTTCCTATATGTGTTTGCTCTACAAGTTGTGCAGAGAAGAAGACGGACAACTGCAGGAAGAGAGCAGCGGGCGTGTGGTTAAGGCAGTTGAATGCCACACAAGAACATTCAGTTCTCTCTGCCATAGGCTTCTGCAAAGAAGGAGCAAGTCAGACCAAACACCTTGGCAGACGGCCACCAACACCGTGTTCCTCATTTTCTGGGAGTCCGAACTGAAACACCTTAGGCCTTGTATGCAGAAATAGAAAGAAATTGATTAGAATGGCAACTTTGGCTTTTGTGAAAGAAATGGAGCTGGAGGCATGAGGTTAAAGGGCAGCAGGACTCAACTGATAACCCTGACTTCACTGCTGATTGAACGGTTGTTTTTCTCCTTTATAAAGCAAAACAGCAGTGCTTCTCTATTGTTCTGGGAATATGCAAAATGTTGTTAAATACTTCAGAGTTCTTAGAAACAATTTTAATACGCCTACAAAAAAAAAAAAAGGAGGTATTCCTGATTTACTATATACAGAGAAAGTGTTGGATATTTTCATCCACTAATTTTCCTACGTTGATACATGTTTGCATTAAAAAGTCTATATGATATAAATACTAACACAGGTAGAGACAGAGCATATCCATTTTTCCCCTCTAACTCTATTTGCAAAGTCCTTCCCAGTTCGTACTGGGGCTATCTAACCTTAGTACACAATGAAACTGTAAGATTCCTATGGAATAGGACAGGAACAGCAACCCATGTAGTTAAAAGATGTTATCCAGTTCACAAAAATAAGCAAGTCTTCACTCTCGGTTGTAGAGTATGACATGTAACTGCATCCACAAAAATAGAAAAGCAATAGGAGAGCTAGTAAAAGTTACTGCCTTTTCCCACTTATTTTACTGGTCTGCATCACAGAATTATCATCATTTTGAAAGCTTGTAGTAATAGTAGGCTACTAAGAAAATAGCACATTGCAAAATAACAAATGTATTTTGTGTCTGAAGAACAAAAAACAAATCTACCAGCATCTTTAAATTGCCCTGAATAGAGTCCCAGTAGTTAACTCCAGAAGCTAAGGTAAAAGAAACACCACAACTGCTGAAAACACAGGTGATTATCTCCTCCATTTTAAGTAGGAAGACATGACATGTAAAAATGCAACACTAATCACATCAATCCAGAGTTTTTGGTACATGACACAACAGAAATGTTTTAACTGCCTGACAATATTCAGGGAACACTGAATACAAATGGTACGAAAGTAGATGTGCCAAGTCTCAAAAACAATATCACCTTAAAGGACAACTATCATGAATTAGAAGCAAGTAGACATGGAAATGAAATACAAATTTGCCTAAAGTCAGTTCTTCAGAGTAGAAACTTCCAGGCACTCATGTTGCATTAACTCAACCAGGCCCCAGGGCTCTCGAGGTCCATTTGACCAGACGCAGAATTAGGGCCTAAATACGCAAAGAGAAAAAAGATGAATCAGGTGTCATAGCCCACAGCTATAATCAAAGAGACACCAAACTAGTCCCAGGAAAGCAATATAAAATTCACATTTTTGCCACAATATGCTGCATTCAGCTACAGAACGTACACCAGGAGGTTTATATAGCATTACCTGATGGCAGTAAATTCCCCTTCAGGCAAACGTGACTACCTGCAGTGCTTGTGCTCACCTCCCGAGTACTGCTGATATTTTTATTTATATATAATTTATTTTATTATTTTAAATAAATGACAGTGCTGTACAATCAGTAAAGGGGATATTTTTGTATTAATCACCAACACCTCATTTCTAAGCGTGTAGATTTTTAGCTTCTTAGTAATGCGGTGGCAAAAACTAAAATGAGGTAATCTTACTATATTTTAAAACACTGTAAAACTGACAGAACATAATATTAGCGCTATAAAAACACTCACTTCTGTGCCCATCTGAAGGCTGTGAGAAGTTCTAGCTTGGCAGTGAGTTAGATGAAGTCACTTTCTGTGCTCCCTGACATGCTAATAATAGCCCACGGTAGCAAACACCTAGTCTAACATACAGCTGCCAGTGGGAAAGGGCACTATCTCAGAAAAATACCTACTTCGTAACGTTTTCTCACACTGAAACATATAATGGGAATGGGTAACAGCAACAGTGAAGACACCACAGAAGTACCAGATTAGGATGGACCACTGGCACAGAACCATGGTCTATATACTCTGATATACCATGCTGTTGTACATTCAGCAACAGTGCTCATCATCCAGCATACAGGGAAAAGGGAAGGGGGGTTTGTGCATTCTCGCTACCTGGGACCTTCCTGTTTGTGCCTGTCAGCTCCAGAAGGTGTAATGGTCTTCAGTCTGATCTGCAAATTCATGAAGCTCATCAATATAACCGCATCTCTACTGTTACCAACTCTACCTGATAGCAGATTGACATTAAGGTTGTCCAGGAGGATAATACTATTCTTTCCTTTAGTGTTACAGTTATGCCTTCTGAGATCAGCATGTAACCAGGCAAATTCAACAGAAACGTACCTTCTGTCCAAATAAAACATTCAGGAGGATCAGCTACTCCTGGTTACTCCTACATCTCTTAATAAGTTTAAGACAGATCCTTTCTACGAAATAAATTACTAAGTAAAAAAAAAAATTCCAAGATACATGAAGATACAGACATCTGAAATTAACTGAAAGAGATGCTGATTTGTCTGTATCACTGATGGAGAGATAAGGACTCATTATTTCTATTAGGAAAAAAATCTAAGCAAAAATACATTCACTAAGCACGTCAACATTATGACACCCACTTTGCTGACATCCAGCACTGACATTACTTGGACTGCTTACGTAAGAGGAAACTGATACACATACAAGAGAGATGTGATTTCTGGAATTTGTGGGGAATGCAGTGTTTTTGTACTGATTGTGTTAGCTCAGGATAGATAGAAAAAAAAATCTTTATTTCCATTTTAATGTTGAATTGATACTTTTATGCCATATACCTGTCACAAGTCTGCATGTTATAAAGAACCTATAATGCCACAATTAGAATAGTTCAGATTATGGTTATTTTATCTCAAGACAGGTATCTATCTGGCTGTCCCTCAATAAGCACACAGCGATAAGGGAACACGGGGTTCAGCAGAAGGAAGCCTGACCTCCAGCACTGTCTCTCCCCACGCAGCTTCTGCATCCCACAGCTGGCACCAGACAGCATGCACTGACTGTGCTGTTTGCCACTGATTTCTGGAAGAACAAGAAGTGCACTTGCTCAGGAATTTGCATGCAGCAGCCTTACCTGCCCACCACTGCTCCCTCTCTGAGTAACCCAAAATTATTGAAGGGCTATTAATATAAAATTCCTTTGCAAAGGGTCACATTTCTGAGTAAAGCAATTTTTCAATTTAACTTCCTGGAGCATACTACGTATTTTAATACTTCAATCTGGACACCTGACAAGTATACACTTAAGACACTATTTCTTCTTGCTCTTGCAAAAACGCATTATCAGTTTATAGTTCCAAAGCTAGCAATCTGAAATGTATCTATTGTTGAATGAACAAGAAAAAAAAAAAAAAAAGTCATCTCTTTTTTGAGACAAGATCAGAAACAATTCTAATTCACATCCATATGCTTCCACAGTCATAAGACTACAGCTGAAAATTAGCCAAGTGCAGATATTAATTCTCTTGCCCTCTCTCCGCTCTACCATTTATCTGTGAGTTTAGGAAATGCTGAAGGGGAAGGAAAAGGATCATTGCAGTTGGTATAGGACCTTGCTATAAAGGCCTGAAGCAAACTGACAGCTTCCTCCTGCTGAGGAGAATTTTTGCATGACCAGGCACAACCAGAAAAAGGAACAGAATCAATGAATTGCTGAAGCCTTACTGAACTGCTACTGAAGTACTACAGAGTGAAGTTATTAGAAGACTTCACTTAATAATTCAAATTTAAAAAAATTCTGTATATAGCGTCCATTATCACAATCAGCCAAATTAAAAAGATCAGTTTCTCCACTGCAAATGCATGATATGCCATCCTATGTTGTTCATCCCACTGGGACATTTCAAATAAACTGCACAACTCAAGCCCCGTTCTGCCTGGCAGGTGGACTACATTCTGAGCTACATTATTTGGGAAGCAATCAGATGAGTGAAGGACCCCAATCAATTAAAAATACAATTATATCAGGTGCTAGCTCTTTAAGGTTTTCATATGAATGGCTTAATTACTAGTGACATATATGCAGCTGCAGAGCTACTACATCACCCCAACTATTGCAACGTTAGCATCATCTCAGGCCCCAAATTTACTCCACATCCCAAGAGTCATATTCATAATTTGCAGATACTTTCACTGTAACATTTACAGGACAATAATTTCTTAATTCTTCTAATCATCCAGTGTATTCAATCAGGTTATCATCATCACCACACCATCTTGATTTGGCAATATGTCTCTGTGCTTTGGAGAAATGCAGCCTGATCTCACTTGCATTCACACAGAGTACTGTTACAAAGTCCCTTTTCCAAGTCAATCACTTGGAGAACATGTCAGTGCCTCCACAGCTCTCCTCGGCTTCTCTGTTATTTGTCTTCATTTTCAAGGCCCTTCCTGGCTTATCACTACTGCACCTATTGTTCCCTAATCATCATCAGGAAGTCTGCTGTGGAATGTTTGTATTTGAAGCTAAGCCAATTTTCATAAAGCATAAAGCTGAAAAGATCATTAGATTACACTGTTTAAATCACTTATGCTGTGCTTGTCTAAAACACTTTCCAAAACCATCACACTTTTATTGGAAAAAAAAACCAAACAGATTTGGAGAAGGTACTTGTACTTCTTCCCTTCATATCTCCCACCTGCCAGCAAATATCGTGAGTCGAGATTCCAGCTCCTCTATCACCCACGTTATATTTTCAAACAAACCTTTTATGCTTTTTTCCATTTTACACCTTAGGGAAACTCCCTTAAATATCTGAAAACGTACTTGGTAGCTTTTCTTCACTGCCCTCTCTGAAATTTACTCAGATGCCCATGAAGTACCTTCCCCTCTGCCTCCAAACAAGCAGTCACACTACTATCTATGAGCAGTGTTTGGCAAGAAATTGCAAGAAGGCATATACATCCCACCTAATTTTAAGTATGTAGACAACTATCAGATGTAGGAGACAGATCTTCCTGTACAGTAAATGGAACGACTCCTGTTGAAATCAATTTCCATGAAGGAATGCCTCATGTGTTCCAAACTGTCCTCCAAAGAAGTCTTTTTTACAGTCTATTTATATAAACTGGGAAAAGCCTGTGGAGAGCAGCCTCTTGATTTACATACACAAAGAGGATGCCCTCAATTTCTAATATTTCCCTTCTCATTTGTGTATATCCTACTTTCAAGTGTATAATGTTTGCACTGCAAACTTCTAGGAACGTGGATATTCTTTTCAACACAAGTTGGAACTTCCACGCCCAATTAACATTCTTTTAATTCATAATAATACAAAAACAATCTTACAATACTATACAGTATTGTATTAATTATATGATCAGGTACTGTTTATCACATAGGTAAACATACAAGCCATGTGGAAAATGCACAGTCATGCACCAACTTTGTGATTTTCTAAATTCCTTAATGCTACCACAAAGACCTGGAATGTGTTCACAGCTGGCATCAGTTGGTTTTCTCCCTATTCTGAATGATGGGCAAATCCCCAGTACAATTCAAAACAGTGAAAGAGAAAAGAGAATGAAATATGGGAGATGGGAAAAGATGGGAAGGTATATATATGGATGCAGGATGTGTGCAGAACTTTTGGCAAAGAAAAGGGGGTTGCTGGAACAGAGCATGGAAAGTCTTGTCATGTGAGACACAGATGTTGTAAGCAATCTTCCGAAACAATTGATGAGAGAATGGTAAAATGCAGGTCTCAAAGTTAAGAAATGTAAGGAGACCCTTTGCATATGCAAAGAGTTCATGTCACACAGTACATGCTTTTCCCTCTTAAACTTACTGGACTTTAAATATGCCCTATTAAAAATGAGATTTCAGTTACAGAAAGAAGGACTTCCAGACCAAAATAAAGAAGCAAAAGCCCTAGATACATTTTATATGCTCTCATTCTCCAAAAAAGCATGTTTCGTACTGGGAAAAAATAAAAACATTATGAAGAAACAATGTGCTTCAACAAGTTATTAAAGCAAAATAGGGAGTCTTCCAGACAAATTTGGAAATCTAATTCAAGTACGAACAACTAGCAAAATTCAGACCAGGCATCATGTACAAAATAACTTGAACCGAATAATTAATACTGCTGATGATCTAGTTCTTGCTCTGGATCTATTCATCCAGATAACCATCCTTCTTTGGAAGAAAAGTTCTTCCAAAGCCCAAAGTAGAAGTATTCTCCCTAAGCAAGAAAGCAAGCAAACAAAAACACCCCTCAGACACAGACAGTAAAAGAAGAGAAGAAACAAGGTAAAATACTGGATGAAATGATTTTCATTATAATCATTTTTATCAGTGGCAAAGAGTTAACTTCAAAGTGTCCCAAAATAATGGTTTTGTTCTTCTGTTATGGCATCAATCATCTTGAAAGTGGCACGCGTGAGTAGTATTGTAATTAAGTTGCAGCTATTTAGGCTACTCAGAATGAAGGAAAACAAACTACAATGAACAACAGGGCCACAAAAATGCCAAGTCAAATTGGAACGATGATACATAACAAACACTAAGACAGAAAGAAATAAAAGCAAGAGAAAATCTGTTTTTATGGGGCTTCAAATTAACAACGCAAGAGAGGGAAACTCAGCAACATAAAACTCAATATATTAGGCTAGAGAAAAGCAACAGTTACCTACAACATCTCCAAGTTGAGTTCACTCAGTCTCTTATGATGTGCACTCAAACGGTGTGGCCTTCTTTTCTTGTGCGGAAAAGAAGGGCCATCAGTTACTGAGAGGCTTTACCACACATCAGGAATTGCTCTTTGTTAGCAGTAACAAGCTAGATTTTTGAGCAGGTCCTTTAGGAATCATCAACTATGACAGGATAGTTTTTGCCTCAGTATCTTGCTCACCACAGATCTTAGGCCAGGTTGCTGCCCACTGTCTGTTTTCCTCGTTTGGAATATAGGTCTGAAATGCACTTCTGCAGTCCCTCCTCCTATCCAGAAAAAGAACAGCACATGAGTTACACTACAGCCTTGCTGCCATCCTCCTGATGTTAGGGACACAAGGTCTTCTGCTGGCAAATGATCTGTGCTGTGGCACACAGATACTGCTGAGAATGGTGTCCTGGAAACCATGCCCTCCACTATCAGTCTACGCCATTTGATTAACCCTTTATTTTGGTTTTTCTATACACTTACACACATTTCCATCCACACTGCATTCACATCAAACTTAACACTTCTGTTACAAATCTCTGCATAATTTTCTTCTCGTTAAATCGATCTGATGCAGAACACTGCGCAAAGGGCACATCCCATACTTCTACCTCCTCCTTCCTTTGCTATGTGCTCCTCTGTTTTCCCTGCAACAACAGCAGTAGCCATTGCTGGTAAGCCTGTCCAGGAAGCAAAACCAGTAGAAAAATCAACCCTTTTTTTGGTGAGATTTTTTTTAACAGCATAGATCCATGAACTGGATCACTGGGATAGTAGTCAGCACCAGGTGCAAGGGAGGAACTAAGACTGCTGCTTTTTAGTGGATGTTGTTCATTAGATCACTGAGCTGCAGTGTGAAAGAACACCAGATTCCTTGACCTCAGGAAGGAACCAGGGCACCACTTCAGCACGTCAGTGAAAATTTCTGCTCAATCAAAATAAAAATAAGAAAAGAGGCTGCTCAAACAGTGGAAAAGAACGAGTAGAAAAGGTGTAATGGAATTACAGTAATCAATCTTGTGACCTTACTAGAAAAACTAAAACATATGCGGTACATGTCTCCCCCTCTCCAAAAGGATACGTGAGAAGTGGAATGAGTTCAAAGATGAACACTGATAAGGACTGGGAACACCTGAAGACAAACTGGGAAGTTTAAACTGAAGAGTGTTATGAACAGACATCATCAGGTAACAAAACCTCCAGAGAGGTTCTATCAGATGCTGCTATGCTTGCTATCTTACAATACAAGAAAAATACCAAGAAGTTTTTGAGGTATGGAAAATTCCAAGCTGGCCAGAATCACATCTGTAATTTATCCATGTTAATTATCAAGGAGATTGAAAGTTATTAATATAAATTAAATGTCCCTATCAACAACAGTCACGCTAAACAAGTTACTACATAAAGAAATCTGGACAAAACATATTTGGAATTAACATCAAGTGATGAAATGGGATACAGTTACTGAGAAATGGGGAACTGTCCTATGGCTTGCAGCAATGTGACAATTCCTGTGTTTAAAAAAAAACCAATTAAAAAAAAAAAAGAATAGCAAGTTTATTCCATTATTAACTTTTTATTCACAATATCAAAGCTTTCCTATAGTTTGCACTGAACGTTATTAATAGTTCTGTGAGACTTCTTCCACATCGCCTGGGAAGGTAAAGGGAAGAAATATAAAAAAAGTGGCCAGGGGTGGAATATGCAGGGGAACACAAAGAAGAGACTTCCAGCAATGCCAAAGCAGGGATAAGACTTCATGGTTTAATAGGTGGCTGGGTCAGGTAAATAGGGCAATAATAAATGGCTGAAGCAATCCACGGTGCAATAAAGAGAACAAATGAAGACTTTACAAGACAATAACATAGAAAAGAGAACCAGAAACACAGCCTGGGAACACTTTTTTTGAGAGAAAATGAAGTCGGTACGTTGATGACAGAAACTGAATAGCTAAACAGACTTTGTGTAGTGAAGCTGTGGGTTTGAGGTGACCTTACTGTCCACACTGTCAGGTAAGCAGCCGGGCATAAAAGAAATAGCAAAAGGTTGCAGAAAAACAGTATACAATTTGTGAATCCAAAAGGCAACATACATTTCATCTGTGTTCCGTAAGCAGACCATTGAACAGCAGGAAACCAGAACATAACACTTAACCCCCTTAATTTGCTCTGTTTGGAAACCAACGGTTGCCAGATTAACAGCTTTTGCCTGTGATCATTTCAATGATACACCTCATTGGCAACTCGCAGCCTCTTTTTAAAATAAATGGGATATTCTACTTTTCTAGATGAAGCTTAGAAATACGTACTGAATATTTCAAAATATACTCCATGAACATTTACCTGCAAAGCTGTTCCGTGTCCATTTTCCCCTTTTAAGGGAAGAAAGACAATTACAACAAAATGAACTTACTGGAAAAGAGGCACAAACTAACCCTCACTTGGATACGAAGGCATTTTTGTTAAACATATATATTTGCTCATTCCAATATTATGACAGCTATTTCATAGAATCATAGAATCACCAAGGTTGGAAAAGACCTAAAAGATCACCCAGTCCAACCGTTCACCTATTCCCAATAGCTCCTACTAAACCATGTCCCTCAACGCAACATCCAGTCTTTCCTTGAACACCCCCAGGCTCGGTGATTCCACCACCTCCCTGGGCAGTCCATTCCAGTGCCTGACCACCCTTTCTGAAAAGTAATACTTCCTAATGTCCAGCCTGAATCTCCCCTGCCGTAGCTTGAAGCCATTCCCCCTGGTCCTATCACTAATGACACGAGAGAAGAGGCCGACCCCCAGCTCACTACAACCTCCCTTCAGGAAGTTATAGAGAGCAATAAGGTCTCCCCTGAGCCTCCTCTTCTCCAGGCTGAACATTCCCAGCTCCTTCAGCCTCTCCTCATATGGCCTGTGTTCCAGACCCCTCACCAGCTTTGTTGCCCTTCTTTGAACACGTTCCAGGGCCTCAATGTCTTTCTTGCAGTGAGGGGCCCAAAACTGGACACAGTACTCGAGGTGCGGCCTCACGAGTGCTGAATATAGGGGAACAATCACCTCTCTGCTCCTGCTTGCAACACTGTTTCTGATGCAAGCCAGGATGCCATTGGCCTTCTTGGCCACCTGGGCACACTGTCGGCTCATGTTCAGCCGAGCATCAATCAATACCCCCAGGTCCATTTCCTCTACGCAGTCCTCCAGCCACACCGCCCCAAGCCTGTAGCGTCGCCTGGGGTTGTTGTGGCTGAAGTGCAGGACCCGGCATTTGGCCTTGTTAAAACTCATCCCATTGGCTCCAGCCCAGCTCTCCAGCCTGTCCAGATCCCTCTGTAGGGCCTCGCTACCCCCAGGCAGATCCACACTTCCAGCCAATTTGGTGTCATCTGCGAATTTACTGAGGGTGCACTCGATGCCCTCATCGAGGTCATCAGTAAAGATATTGAAGAGGACAGGCCCCAGTACCGACCCCTGGGGAACACCACTCACGACCGGTCGCCAGCTGGATTTGACTCCATTCACCACCACTCTCTGTGCCCGGCCCTCCAGCCAGCTCCTTACCCAGCCAAGAGTGTACCCATCCAAGCCTCTGGCTGCCAGCTTCTGCAGGAGAATGCTGTGGGAGACAGTGTCAAAGGCTTTGCTGAAGTCTAGGTAGACCACATCAACAGCCTTTCCTTCATCCACCAGATGGGTCACTAGATCATAGAAGGAGATCAGGTTGGTCAAACAGGACCTGCCCTTCATGAACCCATGCTGGCTAGGCCTGATCCCCCGGTCACCCTGCACATGCCGCATGATCTCCCTCAAGACGATCTGCTCCATAACCTTCCCTGGCACCGAGGTCAGGCTGACAGGCCTGTAGTTCCCCGGATCCTCCTTACGACCTTTCTTATAAATGGGAGTCACGTTGGCAAGCCTCCAGTCTTCTGGGACCTCACCAGTCAACAAGGAGCGCTGACAGATGATGGAAAGCGGCTCGGCTCTCACCTCCGCCAGTTCCCTCAGCACTCTCGGGTGGATCTCATCTGGCCCCATCAACTTGTGGCAGTCCAGCTGGAGCAGTAGGTCTCTGACTGTTTCTTTCAGTAAAAGTTTACTTCATAATAAAAGCTTTTGGATGGAATGAGGCATTTCTGAACTTCTCCTTCATGATTAATGTACAGTGTAAGGAGCCATTGCTTTGAGACAGGTGCTACAGAAGCCAAGTGTCAGGTTATCAATCAGCTCCTGCTTCATATTAATTCCAGTTTAATGACCAGAACTCTTTTATTCTTAACATCTTGTTTTAAATATTGAACTAAGAGGATTCCATCAGGATACACTGCAGAGAGCACCCACCTTGCAGTGCATGTAGCATGAAGGCATCAAGCAGGAGTTATTTTACCATCAGCCAAAGCACATTCTTAAACAAGAACATCTGGCACCATACACTTCAAGAGAAGATCTAACCTGCTGCAGTAACACGAGGGCATCCTATGCACAAGCACAGCTCAAACCCACAGGCAGCTCTTGGTCAAACAGGTTGATAGCTGGAACGGCTACGTGCTCATTTCCTCTACCCCTCAGCACTGTGGTGCTGTTCTGTTGATGGCACTGCTGGCTGGCCCAAATCAATATTGCCTCTGGTACTGATGCAAGCGAGAGGAACCTGAGGTCACCTGAACATGCCTTTGTATGCTGGGTGAATGGCAGCGCAGCGTACAGCCTTGGGTGGAAGTGCTGCCTGGAATAAAAGGGCTTAATGGTTCAGCACAGAAAGAAGGTCAGAACATTCAGCACCTGACATGAACCTGCCTGCACTTCTTCATAGCCCACACAGACAGTCTCACATCACAGCCCCTCAACATAATTAGAGAGCTCTGCATCTTCAGCAGGCAGTACAGGATGAAAAAACAACCATGAAACAGGTGGAAAGGCTAAAAGGCCCCAGGCTGCAGCAAGGCTCCAGGACCTCTGCTGGTAAAGGAGGAAGGATCTCAACAAACTAGAGATCCACAAACTGAGAGTACCACGGGCAGAGCAGCCTGTGTTCATACTTACAGATGTGGATGGAACACAACATATCCCCATTTCTGGCATCCTGCTGCTAGTTATGTTCATTGAAAGGTGAATGGGGCCTGATACGGTGGCAGCAACACTGTCCTCTCCTGAACTGCCCAAGTGGCAATTTCTGATGTATTTTCATTTTGATACTCACTCCCCTGCCTATGCTTCAATGCTACTGGAAGGTCAAACAGCAGAGTTCTGATGCAGCTTTATCCCTCCTATACTCTCCTAGTGAGACATCCTTAAGCAACCCAGAACGACTTGGCCTGGGGTGCTGGAATTTGAAATGGGATTGACATTGCTGCTTTCATTGTCTTCCAGTATATTCCATGGAAGTTGTGGCAGCTTTTGTTGATAGCTGTGTGTAGTTCTCATTAACATATTGCAGCCTTGCACACCACAAACCAGAAGAGGCATGGAGATCAGATCTGTGTCAGCAGAATCAGTTAGGTAAGCACAGACATCTCTTCCTGACAACAAATATGGACATCCGCAGAAAAGCTGATATGGTGTACAGCTGTGAGAAGCATAAAGGGAAAATCTTATGGCAAGACAATTCCTTAATATAGACATGTTTGTTTGCTTTGGCACATAGCAAGCCTAGTTGAATAGGACCAATAAATTAAAGGTATCTCACTCACAATGTATTTATACTATAATCTGTCTCAGTATTATCAAATCCATAGCTCTGCCACCCAGAGAACAAACATGGAGCTCTGTATGTATTTTCAGTACACAAACAATGGCAGCTTTTAGTTAACACTGCTGTTTAACACCTGGAGAAACAACAACCAACACACACACACAAAACAGCACACCATCACTACCAGCAGCACCTAAAGATTCAAAACAAACAAACAAAAGAAAGTACAGGTTTTATTTAATACTCTCAATGTCTGCATTTTGCAATCGAGGTACCAGAATGCAGGGTTAGAGAGGTGTAAGGGATGTAGGACAGGAAACCCCAGAGCGGTGCTTGAGTTCCAATACAAAACTTCTGTAACACAAATGATGATGTATGACATGTCAGTAGGTAAGGCTGCTTCTTTTCTGACATTTTTGTTAAACAAGATTGAATTGGTAAGCAATTCGCAATGCAAGAAGAACTAGGATAACCAGAGGCCAACTGGTTCACTATAATTTGTGCTTTCATGCTATCAACTTGACAGAAACACTTCTGAATCTGTCTCAATCATTATAAAAACAACGTGGCAGTGCAAGTACTTCCATAATCTCTTATCAAATAGTTCAGAAATGAATACACTGAAACCGTACTGCTTTACAAAACAAAGACACAGTTTCTAAGCTCTAACTCACACTCGCAAGACAGATGTTGCCAAGATGTTGCCAACAACTTGCTAAATTAAATGCGTGAAAAAGAGCAATCAGGGTAAAACACAACTTTCTGAAATAAACTACGTTGAAGAAGTGTTTGATAGTACATATGCCCAATGTGCATGTAATTTCTCAAGGATTCAAACGCGCGTGAGCATCCTCTTTTTATATATAATGGCATCAAGTTTCACTGCGGGCCGCAGCAGTGAGGGCACGCCTTTAGGCTGCTGTGTTCATTTAGCTATGAGTCATTCTGTGTGGAAACAACATAACAGAAACATCCACAAACTAATGAATTGTGAAAGAACCATAACATCTTCCCCCTCAAGCTTTCACCTACTAGTGGAAGTGGAGTGTCACAAATGAAGTTATTATCACTAAAATGATTTAGGAACGGAAAAATTCAGCACTGAACACCAATCAGCTCTTTTACAAATCAATCACTTGTAACTGATTTAAGCAATATCACTCAGTACAGTCACCTTAGAAAACATCAGCAGAATGAGACAGGTAACATCCCAACCTTCTTTTTGCAACTATTGCAACTTCAGATAAGATACCTCAGACACGGAAACTGCAAAGGAGGTTTTTCTTGATTGATTTCATCCTTCAGAATCTGAGGGGTTTTAAAATGGAGAAGGGTGCACTCCTCATTTTTTTTTTTTTTAATTTTCCCCTCTAGAATCTGGTTTAAATACAAACAGCCCAAAAAATAACCAAATGCTTGCCATGAAATAAACCTCTATTGAGTGGAGGATCAGCCTGGCAAAACAAACTGGTGAGCAGCTTAACTTCTTCATCCCAAATTACTGCAATAGCCCATCGAATCACAGCAGTTTAAAAAACTACCTGTAAATAGATCTAAGCAAATAACTAAACCTATATTCATCCACCTAGCACACACATTTGTTCAGCACAGGAAGGAAGGAACCTAGTTTGCCCCTTACATTAAAGCTGTTGGTGCGTGCTTTGTATTTTGGCACTGGAATGAGTGCATAGCACTTGGCAGGCTGGATTATCTCTTCTACCCACCTAGAAAGTAAAAATGAGAATCTGAGTGCTGTAGGAAGGGGTATTACATAGACAGATATTACTGTTAGTCACTCTCACACAAAATTAATTTCAAATGAGAATATAGCTCACATTAAGATATTTTCTGAAGAGATTAAAGTGGTTTTAACATACGCACTTCCGTAAGACTTCTGGAGAATCAACTCTCTGTCCACACACCTCCCAGGAACCCAGCTACCAGGTATTCTCCACACTTCTTCACTATACCTAAGTGGATATACTCTGTTTTAAAGAATGCTGCCCTTGGTACCATTTATGTTATGCAGTGTAAATGAGCAGAGTGCAACCAGATTCCATCAACCAAGCAGGTGCTCCTACCCTACCAACGCACACTTGCAGTTTTGCACCTCTCCTCAGGTGCCCATATGAGGTACCCCTGTTACTACAATGCACTTGAGCTGGAGACTAATGGCTGCAGGAGACACACAGCAAACCAAATGCTGTTACCATTCTCAGGCATTAACACTGTCCATTCAATTAACAGCTAATCTTTTTATGAACCAGCTCAGGAACCATCGTAGTTTTCAGAATGGAATGTTAAAATTAAGAGTTCCTGAGGTCCGTAAAACTGCAATTTCACTGACAAGCAGCACGGTGCTAAACGTTACCTCAGCTCTGGAACTAGTTTATCTGAATTAAGTTCGGTTTCTGTATGGCACAATGTATACATACCCACGACCTCAAAATGTCTTTAAGAGCCATCTCAAGAACTGCTAGCTGTTATCAGAACAGTTCCATTACAACAACCACCACCAGTGGGATTCAAAGAGCAGGAAGAAAAATAGGCACAGATTCTTTGTGACTTTCAAGAATCAGTATATACGCAACTAACAGCATAACTGGTTTCAGTGGAAATAAGAATTTTCGCTTGAGGAGTTACTGGCCTGAGCTATTTTAAAAACTAAAGTAAAAGGAAACACTTTTATGATACTGGACTCTGGTTACAATACAATTTCCACTGGTGTTTCCCTACTTAAGCTTTTTAACTGTGTACATTATTTAAATTCTATGAAGCTTCCAGCAAAGTAGTATTAGTACAGTAATTTAACATGCTACTGTTATACTTTCCTTTAATCTACACAAGGATTGAAAGCCTCCAGCTATGATTAATGTGTGATAAATAAATAAATAAATGTTGCATATCTTCCACAAAACTGGGTTGTTTCTTCCACTGCCTGTTAGAACAGTTGCACACACAGCGGTAAAACACGCCACTGGAGGTCAATTATAACATTTAGTCTGTCTATAATAGAAAGTATTTGTGTTGTTTGTTTAGTGACAGTTCAAAAATATCCAGTTGTAAATACTCAGAGAAATAGGCTCAGAAGCAGAGAACCATAAATAGTCACTAATTAATACTTTAAAAAATCCTCGGTCATCTAAAAACTTACTGTTTCACATGCAAGAAGTCGCTGCTCAGTAAAATTGTGTACATTTTTAAAGTGCTGCACAATATAGAGCAACCCTCCAACTTATCACATGGTAGAAGAAACATTTCCATTAAGGGACTGGACAAATTTTCAGACAGATATAAACATTTTGCAGAAAAACATCATGTATTATTTCATAATTTATATGCAGATTCTTACCAAAATGCCACTGTTTCTGAAGATGCCATATCCAGTTATCCTTAAGATGTCCATTCACATCCATCATTAGTGCTGTGTTTGCTTTGCACTGAAGCTTCAGAACAGATTTCAGACAAGCAACCTACGCCTACCAAGATGGTTTCTAGAAAGCAAATTTAAGAGATGTGGAATAGGGAAAACAAACAAACAATATTGCCAACAACTGCATGTACAACACAAACACAGTCAACATAATATCCATTCTGAAACGTTCATCATACATACTATGTTGGACTGTAATAAAGTTACAGAATTTTTTTTCTGAACAGAAGGATGTGTAGATGTTTCAACATCTGCTCTTTTAAATCTCTAGTTCACCTACAGGAAATCTGTAGGAACAAAGCTTCCCTTATCCCATTAAATCTCATACACATCATCTCATCTCGTTAAGGGTACTCATTTGCCTTCAAGTGATTCCTTACAAAAAGCAGGACCAAGGAACACTCATCATACTTGAAAAACTTATGAAAACTGAAGTTCTGATTTGTCAGAGAGTGCATGAACACAGGACAGTTAAAAGTCCTCCATTAAAACAAACAAAAAAGAAAAAAAAAAAAAAAAAAGTCAGCCAAACAAAAAACTTTTAAAAGCACCAAGGAGAGCAGATTGGGGGAAAAAAAAGCATACAGTGTAAACAGGATTGAAGCAGAAGAGGCAGAAAGTGAAACAGTCAGTGAGCATCAGACAGAGAACAGCTAGTTAAACCTGGTGAATGTTCTCTGAATGGTCAAAGGTCCCTCAGGCTTTCTGCTCTTTCTGTCCCTGTCTCTGACTCATGTCCATTCTTCAGTACTTGCAGTCTCAGAGCAGAAAGGCTCCACACATTCTCAGTCTTCTCCCCATTATGAAATTCCCCTCCTTTTAATATGAGAATCAGGATTACTCCCTCGTCTGTAGCTTTAAATCAGGAATTATCTGGATCTGTTATCCATTATCTTTACAGAAGATGTGCATGCAGATCATCCTTACTTGCAAGTGATCCAAGTTCAGATATTCTGACTTCAATTATCTTAATTCTTTTTGGGGTAACACATATTGGACAAGCTGCGTTTTGCACATCTGAAAAGGAAGACAAGACACTGATCTATAAAACAGCAGTGAAAGTTTGGTCAGGATACGTCAAACATTCTGTTCCACACCAAACAAGAGTAAAACTAGGATTCAGAGGGGCAGATGATCTGTAGGCTCTGGTACACACAGCCAGATGGAAAATTCTAACCATTCCCATTAAACTGTACTTGTTCCAGTATAAACTGAGCAGACTAGTAGGGTTGTTTCAGAGATGAAGACGCATTGTTATTATCAAACCACTCATCATCTATGCTTTCTAGAATATAAGCACATGTGTTTAACACGCAAGTTTGCCACAAAGACAAACTGAACATACAAAACTAAAGGATGCAACCTTTTATGGAGCCCTGTGGATAAGAGCAAAGGAACTAGAATGAAGTCATTTTCTTCTGGTATAAGGTCTCACCCGTGTAGTTCATAGAGGCGTAGCAACTGCAATATAATTAAAAACATTTTCTGAAATTGGGCCAGCCCTCCTAGGTTGTTCCCTTCTATTTGGAAATAAGCAACCAATATATAGTTTTATACTGATACAGCTCTATTCACACTAGGAGGCAAGAAGATGCTATTTTAATTATGCCAATATAGATAAAGTAGCAAAATATCTGATAGAGAACTTAGTATCTTGAATATTGCAAGATAGCTGCAATATTCCCAGTGCAGGCAAAGCTTTAGAGTACTAATTCTTAACACAAAAAATAATCCCTGCTGTGCAATTCCCACAACATTATCAACCTTTGAAATGTTAATGGAATTACTAGAAACAAACCATACTTTGAATTTCTGCCAGATTCTGTCAAGTTCAGCTGACAAGAGTGTTCTGCGTGCCACTAAGGTGCCACTATTCTTTTCATAATACTTCACCACATTTAACTAACTTTTTTTGGAAATAAAAATGCTGCAATATTGTTGAATTTTGGAACAAACACTGGATCCTGACTAAGCATGCACTCTTCTTTGAAAAATACATAAAGCAATCACTCCTCTTCAGCCAGACCACAGCACTGGAAATGACCACTGTTATCTCTGCCTGTCAGTGACAGCAGCAGGTAGTAGTTATTCAACAAAATCCCTTTAGTTCTGTCACACAATATTATTTCCATCATTATCTAGTTCATTTGGTTATTTTAAACATCTGCAAATACAGGCTATGCTATTAAAAAAATAAAAAACAATACACCCACAAACAACCCTTTTGCTTCTAATGGGATAAAGTTTAATTACTTCGACAAATATTCCTTAAAAGGAGCAAATAGCATGGTCTTCCTTACTTATTAGTTTTACATGCAGGTTACCTTCAGGTCTCTAAGGACTGGATCTCCCAGCTGACTGAGTTAGAAGACTAGAATCACCTGACAAAACAATACATTTTCTTGCTTATTCATGATTTATCATGATTTATATATTATTATATTCTTGCTTATTTATGATTATTTATGATTTGTATTACAATAGCTTTCAAAACAGACTCAAGATAAATGCAGATATACAGGATAGAAATTTCGTGATTTATTCAAGCTTAAGTCACAATGTCCAAGTAAAAAAAATCTACCTAATGTTTCCATAAACTATGAAAACTGAAGCTAACTAAACCGAACTAAAGCATGAAGGCATGTTTTTGTCTCCCTATCTCCCTCTTACCCGAAGAGAAACCTTCAACACCCAGAAATCCTTTGACAAAGAGAAATACCTACAGTATAACCTCTGCTTACCAAAGCTGAGCTGTGTGTGCTTAGTTCAGAATGAGAACTGCATCAAGCATATCCCAACTAGCACATGGAAAGTAGCCGATAGGTATATATCAGATACAAAAAAATAATCATCAACTGTTGAATTTTAATCATGTAAACTTGTTCTAATCTTACAAATGAAACTGGTGCAAACAGAAGTTCTTAAAACATTTTGTTTGCTAGTTGATCAACCTTAGCAAGAGCAAAGAAGTTGAAAATAAAACTAAACTTCTTGCAATTGTAGCAACTTATCCTAAACACAAGAGAAGTACATTACTCCTCCAGAAAATCTTGTTAAACAAACAAGACTTGTTTATACAATTAGCTCAATACAAAAAGTTAAGAGAGCTCTTTAAAGACCTACCAGTAGTCTACTGTACACAGGGACGAACTGCAATTTTCCAATGCAATGAAGTTTTGGATCAGAGTAACTGCATTAAAATATTTACTTACATAAAGCATCTTGAAGAGTGTAATAGTTACTACTTCTAAATCATTTGCATTTGGACATCTGAACATTTCTTTATACTATGGGTAAAAATTTCCAGTAGACTTCTGGAAAAAGAAAAAAGAGGAATATATATATTTTCTTCCTGTAAAAGCCAAAGCTTTTTTTCTCCAAAATCCCTCAGCCAAGTTTCTCTTTCCAATAGTCAGAGTTTCTTTTTCTTTATTATTTAGGTGAAATTAATCTTCAATATCTACTATATTTAACATTACAGATAGAAATTCTGATAAATAAAATATGATTAGGAAATTCAGTTCACATTGCTTCTGGCCCCACATTATGCCTCTGTGGCTGTAAGATACTACTATTAATTGGCCTTTGTTGGTAAACAAGGTTGTTAGGTAATAATATACACGACCAACACCTCCAGAATTAAATGGCCCAATAAGAAGTTAGTCCACAGCAAACTGCCACAAAAATCAGTTTCTCTAAAACCAGGATGAAAGAGACAGCAGTAGCAGAAACAGATCAGACTCTGGAGTGAACAACCTCACTTGGTGTTTAGGAACAAACAGTATGTGTCAAGGCAGACACACGGCTTGAAGAACTGTGAATATCTTCACTGACAAACCAGACAGTAAATAAATTCCAGCATCAGTCTTGAAAATAACTGGTCGAACGTAGCAAAAAGATGTTTCCAATCACAGCCATTAACAAACCAAAGCACGGGGCACTTCATCCATCTAAAAAATGAAATACTTTGTCCATGAATTTAAGACTGTCTACATCTGAAGCACAAGGCCTTTCAAGGCATTTGGATTCTTAGTGCCAGGTCTCTGCTGTACTTAAAGTGCTGCACAGAATAAAATTTGTATCTCTGACTATCCCTTCTGAAAGGGCTGATCAAAGTCCTCATTTGATCCAAGTACTGTGTTTGCATCTTGGAAGATGGCATTCCATAACTTGGTCTGTAACCCAAGAAAACATATCCTCTTCCTGACCTACAGTTTCACTAGTTCTTTCCCTCTGCTGTGCTTCAACCTCTACTATTTTTGCAAGAAGCACGGCACTTCAGACTAACTCCACAGAGCCTTAAGATATTGTTAAACGAAGCAATCGGGAACCTGTACTGCCTAACACATACAATTTCCCATTCCATAGCAAGATAACAAGTTCATTTTTCAAGACACTATGCAGTCTTCATAACCTCTTCTTGGCAAGTGCACCAGAAATGAGATATGTCCTCTTTTGAAGACCCTGAAACTCCCATTGTCAGACTTCAGATAAGGAAAAACAGTCTCCTCTGAAAACTTAACTGCCCAGTTCAATATGACAACATTAACAACAGGGGAATAACAATATCCAAGAAGGGGGTATTTAAGCTGGATGCTGATCATCAGGACATCTTTCTGCTCTTAAAACAATGTCATAATGCTGGGAACACAAATATTCACAGTGTGCTGTGTGGTATCTAGTATTGCTGTCACTGAGTAACTCACCTCAGGGCTTAAAATCAGATCTCACAGGCAGCAACTTCTCTATCATTAGCACACTAAGTTAGAAGCATAGTATCAGAGCCAGATAGATGACCCGTGTGCATAGCTCTTTCTGTGCCCAACACACTGATGTGTAAGTACTACAGAATACCTTTGTCCCATTTCTCTTTGGAAAACAATTAGCTTCCTCTCCCCTTTCTCAGAGAAACTCTCTTACCTTGGTCTTGAGGCTTGCCATACAGGAGCTTCACTTGAGTTAAATATTTTTAAAAGATAACATACACATTTATTTGGTCCATTATAAACTCTTTTTCATAAAACATTCTCCTTTTTTGTTCTTCATTTCAAAATCCTTATCTTTGAAAGCATCCTTCTGTTTTTGAAGAAAGCAAGGAAGTTAACTCTGTAACTGTAAATCTTGAATAAACAAATCCCCAAAACATTCACGATTCAAATGATCCAATGACTCAAAAAGCCACGTTTAAAAAAAAATGTTTTCTCCAGAAAGAACATTTCTAGCTTTTTTTTCCCTACCAATTATAAAATCATTTTCAATTTCTCCTCTGCCCAGCCCCTCCTCATCTCAACCAAAACAGAAAGTGACAGAAGACCCCAGATGATACGGCAGAACTGATTACAGGAGATGACTGTAACAGTTCACATTCCCATGGCACGCTCAGTTTCTTTCCAAGTTCCCTGCCTCCACTAATGCAGTAGCAGCACCTGCTTCACTACTGAACTTCACAAGAGTGGAAATAAAAGTAAAGTAGCACCAATTCCAGGTGACTTTACAGCTCTGGTTACAAACTACATTGGGCTGTTGGAACTCAAACAACTGAGCTACCTGCAGAAAGTGCATACCAGCAGGAGCAGGAAACAAATCAAGTTAATTCTATGATCTGAACAGAGCACTTAACACTTATTCCAATAGAGAAGCTGTTATTTCTAAATTATGCATGCATTACCAAGACATCTCTGTCTTTGCAAAATGGAAATTGCAGTAGCAGAACTAGACTCTTGGCTATATGTTGGAAAACAAGATAAAATCACTGTGAGTGGAACTACAGATTCACGTCCTATGGTAGTAAAGAAGATCTCTTTAGAAACAGTACTTCTGAATCATAACTGCATAATGCTCCAACTAGAACTATTGGACCTCTCACAGGCATAGGCAAATCTATTTTAAATGTAAGAGGAAAATCTTTACAGTTTAAGTTGCACCCTTTGCTTCCTAATGATCATAATTTAGAAAAGAAAAAACCTCTCAGATCCTCCTCCAATGAAGTTATTTACCTGAGCTGTAGCCTGGGAGTCCACAGTAGTCAGTCTGTTGTGAGATTCTCATCCCACTGAATGTCAAAGCCCCAGTATTTCAAGGACGGGATTTCAAAATTACTTAGTGATGACTTCACTTTGTCTCACTAAAGATAAACCATCTTTTATTCCCACTCAGGTCAGCTCACTGATTTCAGCGAAAACACATTTATAGAAAGCAGAGCTGAATACTTTCAGAAATTCCACCCATGGAAAAAAGGAAAAAAAAAAAACAAAACACCAACAGGCAGGAACTGATATAAATCATTTAAGACTTCACGATGCATTAAAAAAATCAAGTATTTTTGTATGTTTGCATTCATTACAAGTCATTGAAATTACTTTTAACTGCTTCCTGAAATAACAATCTCAAGTGCCTTACCTTCTTACTCTTTAGATGCAGCATTCTGTTTATTCTTTGAAGAAAAAACGGCTCCATCCAAGCATGGCAGGCTGTGCTAAGAATAATAGTTCCATTCAATGACTCAGGGAAAAACATACTTATTGATCTCAATATCTGCATTTCAGACATCATAAGCATTATTACAGAATAACACTGAACTTGGTTTAGGCTTCAATTTTGTCCCACCTTGTTTTCTGTAGTACTGTGTTCAATAACAGTTTAGCTTTTGTGCACGGCTAGCATCTACTCTCACCTATACAAAAACCTAATAAGCTTAAGAATATTGTCCTTTGCATAAATAAAAACTAGAAGACAGATGCATCATTTCCCCAGTTTTTATAATTCTGTGGCATTTATACATAAAAAGAGTATTTTGAAAATGATGCATAGCTCATTTCATTCATATTACAGAGCAAAATTACAAATTTTATGAATAGCCTCCAAAACGATTTTTTCTTTTTGTGATGATTCCATTGAAATGCATTTCAACTTTTCAGAACTTTACTGAAACAACCTAGCTGTCACTGGTGCTGACCATATCTAGAGTACCTTACAAAGAGTTCAAATGCATTTCTTAACTAGATTCTGGTGTTTAATGATCTATTCCAGTTATTTAAGACAGTATCTTTGCATTGTAAGTTTCAGGAGACTAAAGCAAAGGCTTACATTAAAAGCACTGCCCTTTTTTATGGCACTGAAGTTCTGAGGAAGAAGCGCTGTCCAAGGATGACACCAATAATTACAGTTAAATACGTCCATAAAAACAAGCAGAACAGAAGTCTCTGTTTCTGGACCCAAAGTATCTGATGGTACTAAATTATATATATACATATATATATATATATATATATATATATATATATATATATAAAAAATACTGAATTTTATATATATATATTAGTACTTCTCATTCTGTGGACTTTTAGCAAGACAAATGGTATTTTAGTGCTCTCAGACAATGGGTGTGTGTATATATATATGTATGGAAACGTCCCTATGCACGAGATCCGGTAATTTAACATCAAAGCAGACAAGTGTCATGAAAATGGTCTGGATTTGCATGCACCACAGAAAAGCCTGACAAACTGTACTACTCCTTACTGATAAGCATGGTTTGGTTTTTTTTGGAAATTCTCTCGTCTGACTAATGGTTGGAAGACCAAGCCTACAGCCAGCTAAACCTCTGCAGCTTGCAGTAAGAACACAAGAAAATAAACTCAAGTATGCACTTAAGTATTTATTTATGATTATTTTATTATTCTACTGCCAGCACTTTTTTTCTGGAGCTACACTGCCAACATTCCTCATGCAGAGTACGGCTGTAAAGCAGCTTCTACTGTGAAGTCGTTATTATGTTATTAAAATAATTGGATATCTAGAAAAAAAACAAACAAACAGAAAACACCCACAATATAAAATTAAATCCTGAGCCAATGTTACCACGTCAAAATTTAAGGATCCATCTTAACTAATTATTAACACTTACATCCATAACCACAGCCGTCTGTGGCGCTGCAAAATAATTAATCCCAAATATAAAGAAGCCCAACTCTGAAAAAGAACTCACAGCAAAAGGGAACTGTGTCATTATCATCACCATATCTCATCTTCACAAACTACTCCAGAGATCAGGAATTATCCCAGAATAATTTTCAAGACAAAAACTCCCTCTACACATCTTGTAGGCATGCATGCTACAGCACATGCCTTTTCATTTCAGAATACCTCACGTGCCAAATGACCAACATGAAGCCTGACAGGCTCTGACATGGCAATGCATGTATGCTAATTCAAATGAAATGGCAGCATACCTACATTTTAAAATAGCAAAGAGAAAACACTTACCTGAACTTGGCAAGGCACCTCTTAGCTGCATCAACACTATTGCACAAATGAGGACTCTTCCTTGCAAATACATTAGCTCTCTTCAGATCATTATTCTGTGGCGCAGGCTCCTCCAAATGGCAGAATGAATGTATTGCCATTATTGAGCATTTAGAGATAACCCGAAGAAAATAAAACCAAAAGCGAGAAATACAGAAGTATTATTTTAATTATGTAAGCTGCAAAGACTTTATCTGTCAAGAACTTGTTATTTATCAACAGCATTTAAAAACACCCAGAGGATACGTAAACACACTGATCAGTAAAGTAAGCATCAATGGCTTTCGCAATGAAACCAGATGGGCAGTTCATTTCAGCAGAGATGACTAAGTAAGGAACTTTCATTAAAAAGCTACTAAGGAGCATCACTAAAATAAGTTTTTAAGCTGCTTCTTTCACAGTGGACACTTCTTAAGGATATTTTCCTCTGGGAGCTTAAATGTATTTTTGCAACGTTTACTTGTAATTTAGAAATCTCTTTAAGTAGTTCAGTTATTCCTTCTGCTAAGAGTTATTTTGTAACTGCAACTACTGAATGACATCTACCATTATTACGCTAACGCATCTTTCTTTAGAAGACTGTCCTCCAGTTCCTCACAAATTTCTCCAATTTTACCAAACGTATACAGAATTTTACTTCGGATGCTTATTTAAAGACAAAAGTAAACACTTCTACTATAGACTCTTGAGGCACAACTTGACAAACCCTTATTTTTGTTGGAAGTGCCGAACAGATGACCCTCCTGCTGCTTATCTGTTCAGACAGGTAAAGATAGATAAGATGAATGTTGTTTAATGTGCCTACCTAGGTTCTGTGTGACCCTTCATAACTTTTAAGTCCACTACCCAATTTCAGTTTTGTGGAAGTGCAAGCAAAAAGCATTTCCAGTTTTGTATGTGTTCAGAGATGTCAGAATTCCAAGCACTGGACAGGTGAATAGAAAAGATAGAGCCACAAACTGCACAAACTGACTAAAGGCTGCAGCATGTACCCGCGCTATTAAAACATTAATACAGACATAATAGAAACAGCTTATAAACATCCCAGCACCAGCTGGTACCTCTAAGGCACATAGCTATGTAGGAAACTAGGCTCTATTAGATCTGTGTGCTCACAGAACTGCTTGACTGTACTCAAGTATTTACATCAGTTAGCCTGGCATTAAAATATGAATCCTTGGTCTGCAAATTCCAGATAAGTTCAGTTCAGAAGTGCAGCACATACACCAACTGACAGCTCTCAGTCTTCTGGCACAGCATCACCTCCTAAGCAGAGGCATTCTCAGCAGCTCAGCCTCTTCATTCTCTAGAACCACAGGAGGAACTGCATGTAGTCCTTGTGACTGAGGGGTCTTGAGAATTTGAGCATTCAATTTTTTGATTCTCTGATTCAATAATCAGATAATGTCCCATCTGCATTGTCTGAAAAGAACAGAATGTTCACAACATTCTCTGTGGCAAAGAGTAACGTAAAGAATTCACTCAGCTCCTTCATAGCACTTTTTATTTCTTTTAATTGCTTTCTATAGTTCCTAAAGACCAGGAGATCTATCTAGTCCTTACTACACCACTGACATCTTAGACCCTTTTTAAATAAAAACATAAAAGCAACCAAGTACTTCCCTGAAATACACTGCAGTAAGACAGGATAACAATCATGTGTCGATATTTAATATATTTGGAAGGGTCAAATATTGTACAAAAATATTTCCAGTCCCATGAATGAGAAAGTGATTTGGCTTTTTGCAGCGAGTCATTTTGAGACTTCCTCACTTATCACCAACTTTTCAGATAAAGGGTAGATGTGGCACTGAGGGACAAGGTTTGGTGGGGATGGTCAACAGTGATGGGTCAACAGCTGGACTGGATGACCTTAGTCATCTTTTCCAACCTCGATTCCATGATTAAAATAATTCATTTACAATACTACATGGCAGCAGTGAAAGAAGTATCATAGGTATACACGTTCCTCCCAAACGCAGCAAGGAAATCTGTATGAGTTCCCCATACATCTTAATGGGGAGGATCACACTACTGTCAGTCAAAACACAATTTCTTAAATAATGAAAAAGCATCCATCTTGAAACTCATTCAGCACATATTGTTTATTCAACTCAACCACCTGTGGCAACATCTATGTATACTCAGAATGTACACACGTTTGATAGTTTTTGAATACAGGAATTCCTTCTCACATGCAGAGTCCTTGCGTTGGAAGTTTTTGGGGCCTCAAACCTTTCTTTCTCAGACTGCTGACCTGCACTGATGGCTATGTATGACAGCCTCAGTGCCAAAAGTACCTGAAACAGCCAGAGTCAACTTGAGCCCATTGACACAGTTCAGCTGCAAATAAAAGCACTGCATTTGCTGGCACTATACTTTGACTAGTTCCAGAACCACAACCAAAACAACTGTATGCTAAGAATATAGAACTATATGCAAGGAATTCAATGAAATACACAAAAAGGCTTTTTTTTTTTTTTTTTTTAACTGTTTTAAATCTTACAAATTTGACCCAAGTTTTACCTCCATACTACAACATGACAGAATAAGTAAAACTAATTGCAACATCTGGATAGGGCTTAGCTTATTTAATTGTCGTTTTATAAATTAAATATCTATTTGCACAATACAAGTGTGATAATCATAACACTCTCATTGCAACTGACCTCAGAGGCAATCTAGTTAAACTTCCTGACCAAAGCAGCATTAATATATGAATACTCATTAATGACAGGTCGTACTCTTGACCTTACAGACCACTAATCACATGTAATCCTTAATGAAATGCATTCAATGGCCTTTGAGGGCATTACTTATCTGAAGGAGGATTTGTAAGACCAGCTATTTGCCACACTTTGTTTCTAGCTATGGTGTATCACAATACTTCCCAGCTAGGCCTGTGAACATCATCACACTTCAACAGTCAACATTTTGTAAGCAGATACTGCTTTGAGAGCAATTTTGGAACTGGGCTTGCCATACACAAGTAGCTGGTGGTCTACAAGAAAAGGATGGAGTGAAGCAGGGGTGATAAACTAGTAAGTGAGGCAGGAAGCACAGAGCTGAGTTCTGCCTTCAAGAATGTGTCACAGATGGAGGAACATAGGACAGAAAAATTAACACCACTGGCATCAACAATCCCCCTCCCATCCATACCGATGACCAAACTCCAGTACAATAAGTTTGGGAACCTCTGCTTTAGTACCATGGTTTTGTTTCATTCCTCTATTTTTGCTCTGATAAGGATCTCCATTTTGGATTTGTATTCCATTTTACACCTTTTTTTCATGCAAGAAGATGCAATTTAATATGGCATAACAGTGCTAGTAAAAAAAAACAAACAAACAAACCAAGAACAGCAACAAAACAAACAACACAGAGACAATTTAAAAAGTTGAAATATGTTATAAAGCACAATTACCCAACAACACAGTTACAAAAGAAATGCATATTAATTCAGTAATGCCCCTCTGTTCCGAAACATGAAATACAGTAATAGTTTATTTAACTGCACAGTTATGCATGAACTCTGCCAAGCTAATTAAACAGGAAAAAAAAAACCCTCATATTTTAAGATTTTCAGTATTTATATTAGCAGGTAATAAATAACTTCAGATATTAATACAGCATAATTAAAATTAAGTTTAAATAATGGAAAGAGAACTGAAGATCTTTCTTTGGTTCATTTATTAGGATTTCAGACTAATTTCTGTTGATTGCAGAGGCTACTGAAAGCCATAAACACGCTCTTTAAATGTTAACAACCACAAGAAAAAGAGCAGTGGGATGCACAAAAGAGAAAGACTGGCTGCAGACTGTAGCAGTTTTGATAACCTTATTCACGTGCCTAATTGAAAGGCATTTTTGAGTGTTTTAAGAAATACACTGACGATCTTTTAAATTGCTCTAAAATGGAACTTAAACTTGTCAAGGCATTACTCATATGCCTTCCCAAATCAGCTGTTAATAACATAACCACTGCTGCACGTAATGTTGCAACCATCTGACTTGAGCTACTAATTCTTCAAGTAGAAGGCACTCCAGAAAACCTAGTTTATACTCTTATATACCTGTAAAAAAAAAAAAAAAAAAATTAAAAAAAATTAAATTCACACCTTGCCATAGAACTTTCCTGCCAGTGTAGCACTGCATTAACCACACAACTAGGAAAGGCAGATGCTTAAAAAAATGCAGGTAGGAAGCCTCTGCAAAATAAAGCACCTGTAGCATCAAGTAAAACCTGGCAACCTGTGTGCAGCAGAACACAAATCAGACTGAGCACTGACCTGGCCTGGGAGTTCTGATGCAGGAAAGAAGCTCCAGCACTGACTGCACACACGAGGGGCCCGAGTCACTTATCAGCAAGAGATAGGCATCAAGCAAGCTAAAGCTGAAAATGAGAGATAGGACACATCCACAAAGTGAGAGAATATCTTCAACACAAAATTCCTACCTTGGATAACTTCATTTCACATTTCTGTCAAAAATATTTGATTTTTTTCTGATTAACAAAGACCGATTCTACTAAATATTAGAAGTTCCCTTTTACTGCCAACTTATACTGCTAGTTTAGAAAATGAAAATTCACTAGAGAATACCTGTTTCAACAAAAACAACTGCATTTGCACATTGGTGATAATCCTGTGTCTTATTAGACAGGAAGCTCGCAGCCTGAATGCCACCAATGAATGTCCTGGCACCTTGAGGGCAGATGGAACAAATGAGGAGGAGATGCTTTTGTGATATCACATGAAGACCCATCTGTGCAAACATAACGATGTTTGATGCTGCTGCCACATAAAAAGCACATTAGGAAATGGCCAAAGTGCAAAACCACTTTCTTAACAGCTTTGACTAGAAAACAAAACAATAGATTTGAAAGTTGGTTATGCCGTATTTCACACAGAGGACAACACCAGTATAAAGATGACACGACATCAGCACACCTCAAGAACCTCCTCATTAGCACACCATGGGTTATATGAAATTCAGCAGTTTGTCTGGTTAGTACCATTTTTGCTAACAGGAAGAAGCACTGTCAGGCTGAAAAGGAAAATTATAGCTACCTCCTTCTATTCTAAAGGCAAAGGTAGAAATTATGCTTTACGTATACCAGTTACTGAACATTATCAAAGCTTTGGAATGTATCGTGCCTAATTTTCAAGTGTAAAGAAAAGTTGAAAGATTTAGAAGGAAGAGGATCAAGTTGAGAGAATTGTGGTCAACAGCTCAGTGCCTGGATGGAGATCAGCAATAAGAGGTGCTCCCCAGGGATCACTGCTGGGACTGGTATTCTTTAGTACCTTCATAGACATTGACAACGGGATCAAGCACACCCTCAGAAAGCTTGTGGACGACACTAAGCTGTGGGGATGGGTCAACACACTCAAGGGACGGGATGCCATCCAGAGAGACCTAGACAGGTTGAGCAGTGGGCCCAGGTGATCCTCACATGGTTCAACAAAGCCAAGTGCGAGGTCTTGCATCTGGGTCCTGGCAAACCCTGCTATCAGTACAGGCTGGAGGATGGAAGAACAGAGCAAAACCAAAAAAAGGATCCAAAAAAACCTGCCAAAAAGGATCTGGGGGAACTGGTGGATGGGAAGCTGGACATAGACAGCAATGTTCCCTCACATAGAAAGCCAACCTTATCCTGGGCTGCATCCAAAGCAGCATGGCCAGCAAGGTGAGGGAGTGATCCTGCCCCTCTGCTCTGTGCTGCGAGGCCTCACCTGGAGTACTGCATCCAGATGTGGAGTCCTCAGTACAGGAGAGACATGGAGATGTTGGAGTGCATCCAGAGGAGGGGTACAAGACTGAGCCAAGGGATGGAACAGCCCCCTGTGAGGACAGACTGAGAGAGTTGGGGCTGTTCAGCCTGGAGAAGAGAAGGCTGTGGGGAGACCTGAGAGTGGCCTTTTAGTAAAGGGGGGCTGTAAGAAAGAAGGGGACAGACTCTTTAGCAGGGTCTATTGTGATAAGAGAAAAGGAAATGGTTTCAAGCTTAAAAAAAAGATACATTTAGGTTAGATACAAAGAAAAATTCTTTTAGAGCGAGAGTACTGAGGCACTGCTACAACTGGAACAACTGTGATGGATGCCCCATCCCTGGAGACTTCTAAGGCCAGGCTGGACCAGGTCCAGGGCAACCTGATCTAACTGTGGTGTCCCTGTTCACTGCAGAGGAGTTGGACTAGATGACCTTTAAGGGTCCTTTCCAGCACTAATGATTCTGTGACATGTAATTAGAACCAATTAGACCAGCAAGTTGCAATGCATGACAATGAAAGCGGTGATAAATACACACCAGCAAAAAAGTAGTAGTAAAATCTGGTTACAGCTAGAAGTTGAACTACTGATGTTTCAGGCACCAAGGGGGAAAAAAGTATTGAAAGTAACAGATTTTTATTTATTTATTTATTTATTTTCCTTCTTTCTCCCTCATCTCTGTCCCACATACAAGCAGCAAAGGAGCCAAGAGCTACAAAAAAAAAAAACAAACCAAAAACACTCCACAACCAGTTTGGGAATTTATCTATTTATTTGAGAAGGATGATGGCCTTCAGGTTTTGAGGGTGAGGTACCAACCACATGTATTACAGCAAAAACCACAACAAAATTCAATTGTGATGCAGCCTTTAAGCACCACCAGAAAATAAAACAGATACATAAGTACTCTCTCCAGCACTTCATAGGTATTCAGTTTGATTAACCTCACCTAAAGGAATTCAGATTCATCAACTGCTTCTAAATATGCATTAACACTAAGCCTAATGCTTGATTTTTAAGCTTAAACCTCAGGAAAACCTACAATCCAAAAACAAGGGGACAATTCAAGCTGAGGAAAGGTTTTGCTTACAGACAGATGTGAGCTCACATACAATTAGCCCCAGCAAGTTTAAAATACAACTTCCAAGACTAGTGCAATTCTGTGAGAAATTGGGAAAGCATACAGTTGTTGGCAATTCAAGGAAGATTAGATGGGAAAACTATTTTTAATTTCTTGAGAATAAGCTTTCTGTACATCTGTAAAGCACTTGCTGGAACGTTGATCCTCTGCTCATGCATAATGTCAGTAGCTGTAACACTACGGCATCTTTACATGGGATGATATTTGAAATTATTTGTAGAGAGAAAAAAAAAAATAATTCAAGTTTAAATAAGAAGACCACAAGATAATGGTTGCCAAAATCTACCCAAATGTTAGCATAAGTGGCTAAAAGCACTCCTGGGAAAAGTCTCGAATGGACAAGTAATATTCATCATACTGCCACCATCTGAACCAAGTTCAGCTGGCAAGATATTCAGAAACTTTCCAAGAGTCACAACAGCCTGACTTTTCAATACATTTAATTTCTTGATAATATGCAATAATCAAAACACGAGACTCCCAAAGTAACTCCCAATAAACTTTGAAAACAGAATGAAAGAATTGGGTACTTATTAAGAGAGTGGTACGTTGCATCCAACCCTGTGTGCTTGCACAGGTATGGTTTGGAGTTGATTTCCCTTTTACCAATACAGAGAAAAGAGAAGCAATAGAAACCAGCATCATCCCCATTTGCCTTCAGTAAAACACTGCCTTCAGACTTATTGCTGAAAAGCACCGCTTTCAAAACTCATGAATCACCTTCCTGATACAGTATCTTGGAACTCTGCCACAAGTCAATCATTTAGAAATACAATCACAACTAAGAGAAAAGAAACTACACCTCAGAAATCTCAGACTGTCACACAGAAGAATGGAAAAACCAGTACAAAACCTGAACTCAGGGGAAAGGGAGACCCAAATAAAAAAAGGGAGACCCAAATAAAACCTGCCTTTAGGAGAAACATCAGTTTCTCACACAGAAAAACAGTACGAGACTAGAAACCAACACATCTTGTTTGGACGTTAAATATATATATTTTTTTAATTATTATTTTGAACATAATTTAACCAGTACAACCTTAAACTTCCACACCATTTTTGAAGTCTTCACTGTTATAAACAAGTTAACCAAGATCTTTGCGTTTACCAAAACACAACTCCATTTGGACTGCTGTTATATTACCTCACACTGGGTTCAAGTCCATTCCTTACACCAGCGTTAAAATATTCATTCTACATAATGCTGACCTGCAGTAAGAGTAGCAATACAACCCCATTGTGTACTGCATTCAGTTTGGGCCCTTTGCTGCAAGAAAGGCATCGAGGCCCTGGAGTGTGTCCAGAGAAGGGCAGTGGAGCTGTGAGGGAACCAGAGCACATCTATGTCTAATGGGAAGAAGCTGGGGGAACTGGGATTGTTCAGTATGGAGAAGAGGATGCTCAAGGGAAACACTGCTCTCTGAAACTTCCTGAAGGGAGGTTGTAGTGAACTGGGTATTGGTCTCTTCTCTCACATACAAGATGGAACAGCCTCAAGAGCACCAAGAAAGATTTAGGCTGGATGTTAGGAAATGCTGTTTCTCTGAAAGAGTGGTCAGGCACTGGAATGGGCTGCTCAGGGAAGTGGTGGAGTCACCGACCCTGGAGGTATTCAGGAAATGTTCAGACGTTTGTTCAGGGACGTGGTTTAGTGAGAACTATTGGTGATGTGTGGATGGTTGGACTGGATGATCTTGTAGGTCTTTTCCAATCTTGGTGATTTTGTGATGCTGGCATATAGCCAAACTAGGGGGAGCATCCTATGGACAGCAATCACAACTGGAAAACATCACTGGTTTCATGATATTGAAGCCACATTGCATTAGGGATATACTCCTGAAAGCAATCCCAAAGCTACCAAGTTTTGATTATTGGTCCATACAAGCCATAGGACAGGGAGATAAATTCATAGGACAGGGAGATAATTCAAAGAGCACAGTGAAAACTAACAAAATGTGCTCAAGGTGTTTGATTCAAGATAGTTTCTCTCTCCGCTACAGTGCAAAGATGCTCCTGTTAAGGATGACAAAGTAAGAGCTGGGGTGGGGAAAAATTAATTAAAAAAACAAAAACAAAACACTTTTAACTGTGAGCAGCAAATAAATTTCTCCTCTTTGTCAAGGTTACACAGGTTACATGCTGTAGTAGGGAAACAACCCAGAATTTATTTTCAAAAGGTCAGAGGGAAAAAAGAGCCCTAAGAATATCTTACAAGAGGTTTCCACTGCAGAGAAAAGGATTTAAGCAGGTCAGCAGGTGACCAGATGAACCCAGCCTCATGTTTTGGCTACTGACTTCATAACAAAGATCTCCCTTTCTCCGGTTACAACACCAGAATGCAACAGCCAGGGCATGCCGTGTGTACATATCAACATCAGTAATGCTGGCAGCAATGCAAGAATCTAACTTGTGGACTTGAAGTTAGTCATGAAATGCAAGAAGGTTTACAACTGCAGTAATCTTGACTTTTTATACACAACAACTCAAAATTCACTCTCAAAATTGCAATCGTCACGACCGTAAACTCATCCTATACGCATATAACAATATTAATCATGTATTTAAGCACTAAACAGGGAAAAAAGAGGTATACATATAGCCAATTAGTTACTGTATCCGTCTTGCATTCTCAACAAGGCATTTCATGTGTTTAAATTTTAATTTCATATGGTTTTGGTAAAAGAAAAGAACAGTACAAGCAAACCCTGAACAACAAAACCTTTCAAGCAGAAGTTTCCAGTTGGTATCTCCCACTCTGCGTTCAGTTTCTCAGGAACCATCGGCCTTGCAGTGACAATCTGGTTAGAAGCACGCAGCCAACGGATATGTGATTTGCATGTGAAAATATTTTTAGAAGACACACATGAACAGCACATGTTCTCAGCCTGCATACAGTCTGCTATCTATACACACAGAGCATTATTTCCCCAAAGTTCAGAGTTAATTTCCAGATAATTATTCCATTCACTCTTTTGAAGTCGCAACGCATATCAGACCCTAAGCAGCACTCCAAACTGTATTTGAAACTCCTACTCTTCCCATGTTAACTAGAGCCAGTTTAAGAAGGTGAAGATGGAAATGAATAAAACCAGAAATAAGCCACGTGCCCATTGTACATTGTCAGTCAATTAAAACTAAACCAAATTTAGACAGACTGACACAACATGGAAACAATATTTGAATAACAGCAAGTCCAACTAGATCCCAGTCATGACCAGTCCACATCTGGAACATCCAAACCAGTTCCTGGTGACTCTGGAGTTTGCATCACACAATAACTATTACTTCAGTGCTGCTTTGTTCAGGCTGAACAAAAAAAAAGTTCTACTGCATTGTGAATTGAAAGCCTCCATTTCTTTTCTCTGCCAACACACAAACACTTCCCCACACACGTGGGAAATTCCCTCATTATACACAACAACTCAGCTCTGGATGCTTTCCTCGGCCCGAGCTTGCCTTGATTTGACTTGGATGTCTGGGAGGAACAGAAATGAACACCGGGAAATAACTCTGTGGCACCTCACAGCACATTCAAAACATCCGAGGTAGAAGTTAATTTATCAGGAATTAAGTTCACCGGGGGAACAAAACCAAACGGACACAACAACAACAAAGCGACCACCAAGCACAAACAACCACAGCCCCCAGGAAAAGGGAGGCATCGGCTGCCTTTAAAGCCTCAGCAGCATCAAGCCGTGAGTTCTCACTGCTCAGAGAACCAGAACCCACGCTGGAGCTTTTTCAAAGTCAGCCCAGACTAACAAGTGGGAAAAAAAAAAATCACCTGAATCCTTCTGAAGCACACAAAGCCAAGAGCTTTCCGAGAAGATGTGGGGCAGCACACACGTAAAACTTAGGCTTGGTGGAAGCCGAAAACAAAACCGCCGCTCCCTCCCACGGCCCGCCGCCCGAGAAGGGACAGCACGGAGCCGAGCCGCGCCCACCCGCCGCCGTTTCATCCTGAGGCTGCCCCGCGAGACACAACCGCAACAGCCACAGACCGACGAGCTCTGCGCTACCCAGGAGAAGCGAAAGCGGGCCCGGAACGCCGCAGCGGGAGCGAACACGGCAGAGCCGAGCGCCGCCCCAGAACCCCACCACCACTACCGCCGCCCCGAGCGCCCTTCCTTCCCCCAGCGCTCCGCACCCAGCCCCGCCCTCCGCCCGCGGCGAAGCGCTGCGAGCCGGCAGCGCCCCCCCCGCCGGCCCCGCCCACTGCGAGCGGGGAGGAAGGGAAGGGGGGAGGAGAGAATACCTCCGCCGCTCGCCCCGCCGCGGCCGCGCAGCCCTCGCCCGCCCGTTGGCTGCCGGGAACGGCATGGCGGCCGGAAGCGGCGCGCGGCCCGCGCGGACGGCAGCGCCGCTGGAGGCGGTCGGTGAGTAGCGGTGTGCGGTGGGGTTGCGGGCCGCGTGCCTCCTCCGTGCGCCGAGCTAGCGGCGAGACGGCGGCCTCGCGCGTTCCTAAATGCCGACTATTTCATGTCAGTAGCTGTGCTCTCAGGGTGCGCGTGTCTGTGTTTGGGTGACGCTGGGTGGGACGCCTACGCAGCGAGACGGCAGTGCGTGCACGTGTGCGTGTGGGCGCGCGTCTAAGCGTATTCCACCTGCACTGGCTCTCCACGTTGACTTGATAATTAACGGTATATATTCTTTCTCCCACAGCCCTCCCGTAGCGCGTGGATCGCTCTCGATGCGGATTGACACCCGGGCGGTCGGGCCAGGCCTCCCCGAGGCGGCCGAGCACACCCCCGGGTGCTGAGGAGAGGCTGTGCCCGCTCCCAGCCCCGCCCCGAGCTCCTGCCTCGGGCAGCCCCGAACATCTGTGTCCCCTTAGGCCGTATTTGCACCTAAATCGCCTCCATCTTCCCCTAGGAGGGCTCAGTGATGAATCAGTAACATGCTCAGTCCCTCCTTGCACCCCGTGAAAGCATTCACTAGGAGAAATCTGGCTGCGGGAGAAACTTCTAGAGCAGCACAGCCATCGCAGTGCAGGCTGAGTTGTTTTGCGGTGTCATCAGATGTTTTGAAGGGAGTGTATAAACAGGTAGGGGAACGTCTGTTCATGAGGATGGATGGTGATAGGACAAGGGGCAATGGTTTTAAACTGAGACAGGGGAGGTTTAGGTTAGATATTAGGAGGAAGTTTTTCACACAGAGGGTGGTGACGCACTGGAACAGGTTGCCCAAGGAGGCTGTGGATGCCCCATCCCTGGAGGCATTCAAGGCCAGGCTGGATGTGGCTCAGGGCAGCCTGGTCTGGTGGTTGGTGACCCTGCACATAGCAGGGATTTGAAACTCAATGATCATTGTGGTCCTTTTCAACCTAGGCCATTCTATGATTCTATGGTCAGTTTTTAATCTTCCTTCAGCCTGCGTTAGGCTTTTCTGCAGGAAGGCGATGTCTGTGTCCCCACATGCAGCCTGTGTGATGCCAGTGTGTCCTGTTGGTGCTGTGCTTACTGCATTGTGCTTTGTTACAGTTTTTTCTAACTGTGTGATGTATTTATAGTTGCCATCTCAGGTAAAGAAAGCTGACTTGTGTAACAAACGCATCTAGCTAACACCACAGGCAATATGCATGACTTTTTGCCTTGGACTTCAGTTTATTTTCCTTCTCTTTCTTCAGTACCTTTTTGATGCAGGAGAGAAGGTAGTGGCTTACAGGAGCATCATTTTCAGTGTTCCTTTAATCTTTAAACACTAACATTTCCTCTGTGATATAATCACTGTTCTGTCCCTACAGTTCGTAACTGATTTTTGGTTTTGTTGTACTGTTTCCCCAGGTATCGCTCCTTCTTTCAAGGTTCCTTTTACTATAGAGATCCATGACCTACCTTTTCCATGTTCTCCTCCTTCTGCCCTGTTACCTCCACAGCTTACCAGATCTTCTTATAGACCAATCTGACACACTAGAACAGCAGGAAAAACTCCTGTGTGTTGCTGGATTTCCAGCTGTTTTGTGCTTATGGGAAGGCTGGTCATAGGGTGAGCTGACAGAGAACATGATGGAGGAGAAAAGCTGAGAAAAGAGATGTAGAGATGTCCCTGTAGACAATACTGAGCCATTAGATCAACTTAGCTGTCTGAGGAGCCATAACATTGCCTGATAATTGTACCACGGCCACAGCACAGCTTGCATAACATTTCTGAAGTACCCAGGATAAAACAAGTAGTGTAAAAGTTTCAAAACAACCCAGTAGGCTTGAAAACACGTTCATACCTTAACACAGATATTACCCATTGCTGCAGTGGGATTTTCAGTGCGTGACACTGTGGTCTGTAAGTAGCTGTTTTCCGTGGCAGCTGCTGATCTGTGGCCCAGTTTTGTACAGCTGTACAAAGGCTGCTGGTAGCTTGCTGTAGTGTTACAAATGCTGATGTACAGACAGGCTGCTTGGTGCTGGTCTGCATGTCTAGGACCAGCAGACCAATGTTCTCTTTTTTTTTGCATGTGTCTGGAATAAAAGGTCAGTTAACAATTTTGTTAGTCTTTATTCTGTTCATCAATGCAATCAATGGCATGGGCTGTGGTAACAGTACTACTGCTGGGTGATTATACCTGGGAGCGCACTGTACATCTCAAAACAGTACCTCTCCTTTAAAAAAAAGAGAGCAGAAGTAACAGGGAACATAAAGAGAGAATAACCAGGGGGAAAAAAGAAACATGCATTCTTTTTGAGAGGAATGGCAAAATAAGCTGTGACTTGCAAAGAAACAAATATCGTTTATAAAATCAAGGCGTGCTTAACAAAGAATTACCTTTAGGTTAGTGTTGCTCACCTTTTTGAGTGTATGAAGATGATTTGTACTTACATGGTGAGAAACTGCCTGGAGTTCCAGGCACGTGATCTACGTATTTCATTTAGTCTAGAGACCTGAGGCTGCTTCAGGCAAAGCATTTGAATAAAAGTCCTCTGAACAAGCTAGATACGTTTTCTCATTAGTGACAGTATGGAATGTACAGTTAGTATTTATTTTAGTGTGTTTGACACAAGCACAACTTCATTTGTTGTATAAAGAAATCAAATTCCCATCTGGACTAAATATAGGGTAATAGAGAATTGGAAGACTGAGATAGTGCTATTGCTGCTGTGTGAGAACAGAATTGGAGTGCTTGGCTTTCATTTGTAATCCATTAAACCTGTGTACTTAAAGCCTAATCAGTTGATGTTTGCCTGCAGTGAGCCTGGGACCACGTGGTTTGTAGACCTTCAAGCCCTACTTGAAAACTAACCATGATCTCTGAAGTCACATGTGGCTTGATGCTTCTGTCCTCACCTTTTACTGTACCCTCTGATTTTATAAAGTAGGATGTACCATCTCTGCATGCTGCTGAAAGCATTGCAAGTGTCAGTAGGACACGCTGTCTCCTCATTTTGACCCCTTCCAGTGGTCATAGGGGATTGATCTGAAACGAGTTGGTACATTTTACAGGCTGCTGCGCTTTGTTGTTGTTATTCATAGTGTTGACCTCTAGCATCCTGTCCAGTTCTGTAGAATCTCTCCTTGCCCATTATTAGGAGTGATTTGGAATCAGACTGGTATTTACAGCTATCCAAGTCTGTCTTTTTCAAAAGGAACTGTAATCTGAGTTAGTTCTGTAATGTGAAACAGAGTTGAAGGGGCATCGTGCTGTCAGAGAGAGTGTTGGTCAGTAGAAATAATGAAGAAGAAATTATGGCTCAAAGGAAGATAGTAACCTTGATGACTTTGCTGTTCAACTTCTCTGTCTTCCTCCTGAATCTTAAGGAGAGAAATATTGATTGTAGTTATTCTTCCATTTGAAGTCAGCAGGAGCAGCATTGGGTCCCTGTAGTTTTAAACCTGTTTCTCTGGCTGATTCAGGTTGTTAGCATCAGTGCCAGCGAGGGAATGGTCTTAAGCAGGCTTAAGGAGCAGCTTGCTGATGTGTGCTCTGTACTGAAGTCTTCCTCAACAAATGCATGTGTTATGGTAGGTGAGAAAGGCAAAAATTGGCCCTGAATTCAAGAAATCATACAAAATGGAATATGTGATGTCAGTTGTAAAATATGCAATAGATTTACGTAGCAGTGATACTGCAGAAGAGCTCGTATTTGCTAGTGAGTCTATAACATTATTAAAGTAATGGGAGAAGTTTCCCAACAGTGACAGTAACAGCAGGGTGCCCTTTGGAGTTGGAAGCAGTTACATTTACAAGTTAAACTTCTCCTTCATTATGCACCAATTGTACTTCTCTGAAAACTGCTGAAGTGATGTTTGGGCTGTTAATTATTTTTTTTAATTATTAATATTCCTCCACAGCTCTGTGCGAGATCTCATTGTAGCCATTTCGTAAAGGAAATTAATTCTGTCTGAGTTAGAATATAGTAAGTTGAGATGCTTGGACAAAGCGTGTCCACCCAGGATAGCACACTTGGCAAGTAAGTGAGATCTTGAGCATGTAGAGAGTGGATAAGTGTACAAATTCATGGCCTAAAGCTTTTAAATCTAGTATGTGGCTTAATTTAAAGTTTTGAGTTCATTATGTGTGCTAGAAAACATGTATTTTGAGTCAAGGAAACACTCCTCTGATGTCATTACTGCAGTTAGTATGGGCTGCATTATTGTTGGTGTATTTTTCTCCCCCCTCAAAAAAAATCTAACTGAATTTTTCTTTAATTGTTGTATTCACTTCTTATTTTTCAGGAGTCTTTGAAAAATCCTTAGTGGTCATGACATTGTTACAAGTGAGATAAATTAGCCAGTGGCTCAGAGGGATGGATACCCAGAAGACTACAAATGGTTTGCGCGTGATTGGACAAGGGACTGGTATAGGGAAATCGACACTCCACATGGTGGGGTATTTGGGAAAAGTCAGTTGAAACTTATTTTACATCTGTGCAAAGTTCATATTTTTTCTCTGTTTTGAGAGATATTTAATTGGTCTTATTTTACCAAACAATACAAAAACAAAAACCCTCAACATTATTTTCCACGGAAATCTGTAACAACGGCGAAAGATTCTAAATAGATCTGTGTCTGAACTTTTTACTGGTGCTGTATTTATGACTGTGCATTTCTATGTATATTACTTCATATTTCAAAGATCTGAGCATGTGTACCTTGGCTCTAAGTCCCTTGCTTTAGTATAAGTAGAATGAAATGTTACGTAGTTGTATTGTCAAAGATACCTTACTAAAGATTTGAATGCTTAAATCAAAAGATAAATTTGTGTAGTTTGCTCTACACTATAACTGTATCTTATTTACAAGGACAAAACCTATCTGCTTTATTTTTTAATATCGAGTTAGGTGTTACATGCTTAGAAGCTAGTCGTTGCTTTTCTATCTGCGTATATATGTCTTAACTTGGGACACTATATTAACAAATGTAAGTTAATGCATTTTTTTTTTCTTTTTTTTTAGAGCCATGCTCCTGTGGAAAAAACTTCACCTGACTATTGTCCAGTGTGCAAAGAGAAGGGCCAGGTTCAAGTTTTACGGACTTACCGCATCAATTTTCAAGAGTCCATTTATCTTTGTGAAAACCCTCAGGTATTACTCTAATTAACAGTCCTGTTTGCTAGTGTAGAGGCCTTTGCCAGTCATGGTTAAACATCTTAAGTTCAAGATTTGATTGGTAGTGAGCAGACTGTTGAAATATGATGCCTTTGATGTTATATTCTGAATGGTGTTTGCTTGTAATATAGACAAAAACATAGCAAACATCTCTGTATGTGGTGGTTGGCACAACTAGCTATTCTGAAGAGTAAAGGGAGCAGATTAAAAGGAGTAAGGTAGAGTTTGTTTCACATAACAAGGGGACACAAGTGATACTAAACAAATCGTTGTATGAACCAGAGTATGAAGGATCTCATTCGTTGTTATTTTAACTCTTGTTCACCTGAAATGACTTTTGAGATTTCATTATAACTTTTCTTTTTTCCTGTAGTGTATCTACCCACTTGGTTACAAACCATTCAACAGCATAATTATTTCTGCTGATTCAGAAAATCTTCAAGTTCCATCTAATGATAAGAAAAGGAAATTGTGTGATACCAGTGACTTTTCTCCTATTGAATCAAATCCAAAACTGACAAGAACTAATGATGTGGTAAATGTTGAGCAGACTATTAATACAGACCCTGTTGTCAAAAACTGTGGTGATAGCTTATGTATCCTTCAGTCGAGTGTATGTGACGTGTTAGAAAATGGCCAACAAAAATCCAGTAACGAGGAATCCATCAATCACAGGGTGGATTTTGAAACAACCTCCAACACCAACGGTCAGCAAGAAAGTCCGCCTAAGAATTTTAGCTCCAGAACACAACTCTTGCCAAACTCTACTCACAGCTCAGCAACAACTGAAGTTTTGCTCAGAGACAGTAACTGTTCCACAAGTAACACAGATCTATGTCTTCAGTGGAGAAACAAGTATAATCTTTGTTGGTTAGATTGTGTTTTGTCTGCACTGGTCCACTTAGAAGCATTAAAATTTGCTCTAGTAGAAGATGATGAAAAATGTTTACTCCAAAGGCTCTTGACAAAATACAATCAAGCAACTGTTCTGCTGAATACCTGTAAAAGGAGTAAAGTAAAAGGTGAGTTCATTCAGCTACTATTTTTTCATATTCAGACTGATCTGATTAAGGCATTTAGTACAATGCCCTTAAAAATGCCTCTTTTCTATTTCAAGATCACAAATGAATCAGGTACATCTCAGTACTATGAATTTGCAGGATTCTGTGCTTTAGCTCACAGACTCCCAGTAACCCCTGCAATTGTTTTCTTGGGATAAATGTGTGCACTTTGAAAGTGGACATCAAATACAAAGGATCTCTTGATATATATATATATATATATTTTTTGGTCATAACCAAAGTAGGAAACTTGTGAATTATATGTTTGAGCCGTACTTTGTTTCCTTCTTCTCTGTTGGTTAATTATTGCATTATTTTTCTAATCTTAATCTTCAGGATTGTTTTGGATGTGGTTTATGTCACTGTGTAATGAACAGTTGCCTTATCACACCAAAAATATTCAAGCTGGGAACATGTTCTTCTCTGGCTCCAGCTCTGTTCATCGAAGAAATGCTTCCCCTGCGGTCTGCTAGCTGTGCTGAGGGTGTAACCTGTTTTAGTCAAAATTAGTCAAAAGGTTTTAACCTGGTTTATACTGTCTGGAAAAACTTAGAAAGTACTCAGATACGCAGCTTAATAGATTTGAGAGTAGTAGCCTCTAAGCTCAGGGACAGTGGAGAGCAGCCGGGGGCAAACTTTCAGGTAGCACAGTGGAAGTGAGAGGAGGATGTGATGCTGCAGTCTGATAGTTTGGCCTTTGATCACTTTCCATATGGTGGATTCAGTGTAAGGCTCTTAAACTAAGATTTATTTTTCCTAGTCCTTTGGAATGGACCCAGTGGAGTCATAAGCCTGAACTTCTAAGCAATCACCCTTCAGAGAATTACTGCAGACCTTTGGCTAGCCAGTACCCTTCATGAATTTCTTTTTCAATAGGTCTTCCAGGAAAAGTGTACGTTTCAGTATGACAGAATATAGTAATAGAACAGCACTAGATAATTTAAAGGATATCATATCTTTACTGGAAAGAATAGTGAGTGTATCAAAAAGGGTTTAACCCACCACGTGGCAGAGAGAACAGTACTTTACAGAGGCACACACACACAAAAAAATATCCAAAGAAATTCTCTAGAGGTTCGTATATTATTTGCCAGAAGGTCTGTTTGATTTTGGGGGTTTCAGATGTTACCTGGAAGCCCTCTACTATTGCAGCAGCCAAGATGTTATTCTTCCTTTCTGTTGTGCTACTGCTGTGTTTGCAAAGGAACTCTGGTATGGAAGAATCCTAAAGTGGGTGTGCTGGTTTGCTTCCCTTAGAACGGCTGGTGGAATATGGTGATGTTTGAAACATTTCATTTCCAGGAACTACTGCAAAAGAAGTTGGCTCATTTTTGGCAGGAATGGAAAGGGGGTCGGATGAAGAGTGTTATTGTGGAAAACAGCTGTAGTATTTTTGTTCCTTCATTTACTTTTTCAGTATTTTTTTTGCATATGACTATGTTTTGAAACAAGCAAAAGCAATCGAGATACAAGAAAATGGTTTTTACCTTTTAAACACGTAATTTTTTAAAGTAAGAAGTAGTTCCCACAGCTGTTCTAAATCCTTCCTTTAATTGGTGTGATTTGTGATCATGATTGTGTAGTAACAGATGTATTCTTTCATATGCTTAATGTATGTGTATAGACATTGTAAGTTGCAAATACATAGTAAGATAAATATATGATTTTACAAATAGGTTTTTAATGTTGAAAATACTGACTTAGGAATTTAGTATTTAGCATTTAAGTATTTTTATAATGAATTCTATGATGTCATTACAAACATAAGCAAATCTCTGTGCTTTGGTCTTCATGTTTAGATTTTAAAATCTAGTCCTAATCTCTGAACCTCTGTGGTTTGTAATGTTTGACTCCATTAATCTTACGTGTTATTACTGTCTAGAACAGAATCATCAAATATCCCAAGTTGGAAAGAACCCTAGCTATGGGTACACATTCTTGGTGAGAATTTAAGTCAGATGAAGTTATTTTGGGTTAGCATTCAAGTTCTGTAAACCAGTCTGTAATTTTCAGATCAACTGATACTGAGCAGTGACTATTTTACTAGCAGTTCTAGACAAGTGTAGATCAGTGTGAAAGATATCTGTACATAATGAGCTCGTGTTAGGGTTACGTGTGTGAAAGGGTTGGAGGTGTTGCACATAAATACATGAAAGTATATATTTTTTTTTCTACAGATGTTCTTCCTAAAGCAGAATTGCTTCTCAATGAAATAAGAAACCAAATTTTTATACAGCTTCAGCCACAGCTTAGGTGTGAATTAGGTAAGTAATTACCTAACAAGCAGCACCTCAGTACTTATTTTCAGGAAACTGTACATCTAAAGACTTTTAGCGTGTCAGTTCATAAAAATACATCCGTATAATGCATGCAAGACACCCTGCAAGTCATACGTTTGTTAGCTTGTGACATACACACAGTGTACTGTGTGATTAGCTGTTTTGTCCCTGGCTGTTTTTCAGAGTGTAGGCAGGTTTTTGTAACTATGCTGCATTCCTGAAACTGTCATTGAGAGCAGCCAGGTAACACGGATCAATCCCTTTGCTGGGAGCTTTAGAGGGATGCCCTGAATTGCAGTCGTTGCAGTGAGCTTATCTTCCCTTTTGAAGTACTGAAATCTGATTTCAAATTCAGCGACTGTTTTTTCTCCCTGTCTTTGAAGGTAAGGAGGAAAGTCCAGTGTTCGCACTCCCTCTCCTCTTAAAACAGGATCAGCAAGCTGAGAAACTGTTTTTGCATTCATTTTCCTGGAAGTTTGAATGCATGTGCTGTGGCTACAAATACCTGGACCGGTGAGATTTTTTTTATAAACATGCCTTCTCTTTAACTGTCCTACCGTAGCTTTGAATCTGCATGTAATAAAAGATTTTCTTTGCATCTCCAGGTCTTGTATAGCTTAAGTTTCTGGGTGAAGTTTTATGTGAACTGCTTCTTCAGTTTGACATTTGCAAGTGGTTTACTGCTGTGCAGTGTCTTAGGAAACCACGTTATCTCTTAACTAAGAAAGAAATAATAGGTAACAGCAAGCGGCTGGCCATGCTCGCTCTGATCTTGTGCTGAGAATACACAGGTTGTTGCTGTTCTACAGAATATGTGCCTAGCGTGCTTTTACTATTGAAGGATATCTGTAATGTACACTGGGATTGAAAAGAATCAGAGATTTTAATGTGTTTTAAAATAGTGTTACAGGCAAGTCATTTCTTGAGGGTTGGTGTAATTCATGTAGCCACAGGTCACTTAGGCTGTTAGAGCCCAGAGAAAGGGACCTCGTCTTCATGAGACAGCTCATTCTATTTGAAAAATGCCTGTTTCTCTCCACTACCTGAAGTTCATACAATAAGCTTCTCGATCCACAGGTGAAGTGAGATTAATTATGCCTGTTAGCCAGGTAAAATGTGTAGGTCTGCTTAATAAGGTGTGTCCAAGTTGCATACTATGTTTTTTAAAAAAAAAAGTGGAACAATCTAGGTTAGAGCGGTTATAGAGGAGTCCTTTCTGCAGCTAAGGAAGAAACTACATTATTTAATATCCCATACATTGTATTTTCACCCAATACAACTTCTTTGTAATCTATGCTCTGAGTGTGCTGGGTTTTTTGATTGGTTGGTTTGGTGGTTGTTTTTTTAAACAAGACACTGTACTGTGTGCACTGTGAGATAGTGACCACTTCCTTCTCTCCTTGAGACATCGTAGTAGCTAGTGAATTGCTCAGATCCTTGCGAAAGCTCTACCATTCCTTAAAAAGGAAGCAGAGATAACATGCTAAGGGAGAAGGAGCATATAATGCTCTGCTCAAGGCTGCAGAGCTGCTGAGAGCAAATGGTGACTGATAATGTGTGGCAGAACTGAATTCAGCGCTGTCTTGGATAGAGTGTAGTCACAGAGGAATACATGCAAATGGCATGAATATGAACAGAATTTAGCTTTGTCATAACGTGCAACTTTTTCCCCTTGTAAACTGCAAATATTTATTGTTTTCTAATCAGCAAATTGTCTTACTCTGTGTATGTGTGTGTCCAGATGTAGGAAAACACTAACAACGTTCACAAATGTAATCCCTGATTGGCATCCGCTCAATGCTGTTCATGTTGCTCCGTGCAATAACTGCAGTGATAGATCTCAAAGAAGACAGATGATTTTGGAAAAGTGAGTTTTGACATATGAACTTGAAAATAAAATGGATAAAATTCTGTGATTTCATGTATTGAACATAGTATCGCTTTCAAAACTAAACTGTTGTCTTGGGTTTACAGATGAAAAGCTTTAAACTCTGATAAGTACTTCTTTAGATGTTAGGTAATCCTTAAAGGCTGAAGCTGCAGATGGTTTTTACATGAAGCATAGAAGGAACAGTTTTTAACACACTGACTAGCACATAGGTTTGAGCTAGGTCATGCTTTCTACTATTTCTAGCCAATCTCAGCATTTCTGCAGCTTTTGGGATTGGTGAATAAAACTGTTTTCACCTATTTATTTATTTGCCTTGGGAACAATGCCTTTTGTACTATGATTATGATGCAGTTGTCTTCTGTTTTTTCTCACCTTTTTCCCACACCCAAAGTCCTGTACACGTTTTGCCTTCTTTTTTCTCCCCTCATCTTTAACAAAATGGAGCATCCAGTTGGAGATGTCTTTTTCCTTGAGTACAGCACAATTGTAAGAGTCCCGTGTAAAAACAGAATAGTAAGGGCAGAACTCTTGAAATGCCTTGCACAAAGCTTTTGTTAAGGAATTTTTGTCACTATTTTGTTGTAACAAACTGTTTCTTTATTGTCTCCTTAATAGAGTACCCTCAGTACTGATGTTCCATTTCGTGGAAGGCTTGCCACATAACAACCTGAAGAGTTACTCGTTTCAGCTTGAAGAAGAAATCTACCAAATAACATCTGTTATTCAGTATGAAATGCGTAAGAAGCACTTCATAACCTGGTCATTGGATCCTGATGGTAAGAAACATTAGGTCTGTGTACAAACAGTACTTTGAGTTCTACATCAAGTAGTGTTTCATGGGTTATTGGATAGTCCATAGGCAGTAACAAGGATTTATTTTGTCTGCATCCTAAACTTAGGATTTTGTGAATAACTGTAAGAACTTTGTTATTTAGGGTGAAGGTTTAGTTTTGATTTAACTGACTTCTTCAGCAGTGTTCTGCCTTCATGGGCAGAAGTTATTTGGGTAGAGTCATTTCCTTTCAAAACTTTGTAAAAGCTAAATAATAATTAAAACAAACAAACAAAAAACAGCGAACAGTCTAAGCATGGCTCTTGGACAAATAGCATCAGTTATTTTGAAGCCAATAGTTGGGCCTTTCTTGACTGGAAACTGGGGAATGTGTGGAACTAGCTGCATTAATGAAGTTTGTATTCATTCCTGAACTTAGCTGCAGCTGAGGGGTGGGAGGCAAACATGCATGATGGAAACATTGCCAGTGGTATGATGGTTGTAGCATTGGTGGCAGCAGAGCTTCATCTGAGTGAAACTCTGAAATTGCAGATGGTAAAAAGATGGTATCTAATTTTTGTGCTTTTCTAGAGGGAGTGGAGTGCAGCCTTATCTAATGTTTTAACAGTATGAAAATTGTGTAAGTCATATTACCTGAGTTTAAGAAAAAAAGAAAGAGGAAGCAGCTGGTAAGGAAGCACCTAGTAAGGAATATCCTAAGCATCTTGTGTATGTGGTCTGTATCTGTTTTAAAAAATTTCAAGCAGTAAAATACTTGATGAACAATTTGCAGATGATGATGAGGCAAATTCACAAAATGAGCAGTTTCTCTTAAACCCCCGTGCCTTCCATGTAAGGAATGAAAAGTTCTACCAAGAAGCTTAAGAGGTGGCTCTTTGCTCAAACGTGTGCAGTATTTTTAGCCAAGATGTCAGCCTTATTAGCTCAGGCAAAAAAAACTTAGCTTTGTTTTTCAGTAGACCTTGTCTGACTTGTAATAATATTGCTGCAAATTCTGCTTGGGGTGATCTTTTTACAGTGGAAACCTCCCAGTTTTCCTCTGATATAATACAGAATGAAGGAGAAGAAAATATAATTGCTGCTTGTCAGGTTAATAAAAATGCTTGACAAGTGTCAGAAGATGGAGACTTCAATTTCAAAAGCCTCTTAGTCACTGCACTGGTTGTTGTTTATTTTTCAGGAACTTGGCTTGAATGTGATGGTTTAAAGGGTCCGTATTGCAGGAGACACAAAAGATTTGAAGTTCCTCCGACAGAGATTCATATTGTCATCTGGGAAAGGAAAGCATCCCACTTGCCAGAAGAACAGAATTCAAGGCATCAGAGTAAAAATATTGAAGATTCTACTATTAATAATGTGCAGTTAAATTCCACAGTGTTGCACCACGGTTTTGATAATGCTGTACACAGTGTACTTGCAGAAGATCACAAAGAAGATTCTGTGAGAATTCCAGATGAGAAACAGCAGCAGGTAGCTGAGGGTGAAAGTGCACACTGTGGCTTAGAAAATCTTGCCCGTGATGATCTTGTGCCTCAGATTCTTGAAGGAACTCCACTTGACTCAGAGGGTAAATCAGTGCTGAACAGAAAGATGATGGAAAATAACCTTGTTGTTGAAATGAGCTCACGGGAAAAGCAAGAATCGGCTTTTTCACCTAACACTCCCTATCCAGGGGAGCTCATTGGAACTGATGTACCTATGAATGATAAAAACACGCTATCTGAAAATTCCAGCATTTGCTTACCTCTACAAGAGTTGAATCCAGCAAGTATTACTCCTCCTGTACCCAAAAAACATGACCCCAACCCGTCTGACTCATTATTTGCTCAAAGCACAGATGGTAAAGCTAACTTACTTAATGGAGAACGTGGTTTAAGTTCAGGACAAGAGATAAACTGTAAATTGCCACCAGTAGAGAATGTTGTAGAAAAATCACCTGACCTGAAAGGTGCAAGCAAAATTGCAGTTCATTCTCAGGTTACAAGTTCTTCTGCTGATAATAATTCCTTTCAGCCTTCAGAGAAAGACCAAAAAAGAGGATTTGTAGGAAGCTGGGTAAAAAAACTGTTAAGCAAGAATACTTCTTTTCTGCCTTCAAGTGCCTCGATGCCCAAGAATGAAAGAAGCTGCAAAACTCCCTCCGTGCAGAAGTTAAGTGACACATGGTTGCCAGTTAAAGGAGCAAGTAACTTTGGTGGATTTCAAGGCAGAGGTGAACACAAAGCATCTCAGCCCCTAACATCAGTGCTTCCTCGGAGTAATAATGCTCATTGTTTATCGAAGTTCAAAGGATTTTCTCAAGGCACTTGTCTTCCCCAGAATCGTAATGCTATGGAAGGCCTGAACTGGAATAAGTCAGGCAATACTGTGGGTAGCTCTGGTAAAACAACTCAGGTCCATCCACATAGCTATAATTCCGTGAAGGCAGAAGAGTCAGATAGTGACAAAACAAGGAAGCTTCGCCTGAAACTGTTAAAAAAGCTTAATGCTAAAAAGAAGAAGTTGGCTTCACTAGACAGGCTAGCAGTGGAACAGGCGAAACGTGGAAAACCTGTTGCTAGCTATGCAAGTGCCCCTTCACAGAGTGAATCTCATAATGATAGTGAATTACTGCAGAGCTTTTTAAGGGAACTGCAGTATCACATTGATGCTGCCGATAATTCGCCTGAATTCAGTGTGAACTCAGGATGCAGTAGCCATAATAGTAATGATGAAATACTGGCAGAATTACTGTCCCCTACTTCAACTGTTGCTTCCTCAGAGGTTCCAAAAAGTGAAGATGAATGTATGTATATGGAAATGGTAAATAGCAGCAGTGCTGCACCAGCAGAGCCTGCTGAGAAGACCAGCATATCTCATGCAGCACTGACAAGTGAGGACCACAGTTACTACAGTCCTGAAAAGGGCAGTAATTATGAACACACAGTGAGCAAACCCAGTGTGAAAAAAATTGGTTTTGAGAGTCCCACAAGGGAAGATATCCTTGAAGACCTGTTCTCCATTTCAGCACCAACCACAATGGCAGGTGACATAGATGTACCTCATTTTGATGAGACGCTCTTTGAAACTTGGTGAATGTTTGGTTTATTAGGGTTGTGGGGTTTTTTTTTTCCAACATTATGTATATTTTGAAACAAATGGCTATTAAATTATATTTTCTAACAAGTTTAATTGCACCCTGGCTGTACTTGAACACTTTCCACTGCAGTTGTTCTTAAAACTTTATTGTAGCAGGCAAAGTGCTTTAAGGCATTTTGTTTTTTTAAGAAACCGTTATTTTAGCAGATGTAATGATGCATTCAAACATAGCTCCTATGAGTCTTAACTTTTTTGCTGCTTTTAATATGGGAAATGTACCCATGTTTTATTGGGTTTGAAAAATAACAGACTTCAGTATCCTAGGTGTTGTAATGGCATGAGAAGTACTTTGGGTAACACGGATCTGTTCTTCAGGATCACCCAACTCCTGAAGACTCTTTGTCCAGTGTTTAGGGGAAAAATCCACCATTCTGTAATAATGGATTTTTGTCTCCTTTGCTGCAAAGATTGTGTGCAACTCTCAACTCGAATGGTGATACTTTGTTTGGAGTTTTTGAGAATTACTGTTCTTTAAGCTCCCCTTCCTTGGATCCAAAGAAGGACTGATACAAATACTAGTACTTCCCTTTGAACTTAGGGCACCTGCTGGGTTTTCATCCTGGGTAATTGAAAATATAATTTGACTGAACATTATTCAGAGCCGGGTCATTTTCTTCAAGTAAATTAAATAAGATCTGGGCTAGAGTTTGCCATGCAAAGAAGAGATACCCAGTGTAACTTTTATTCATGCATTGCTGCGAATTCACTAATAAAAGAAAGATTTCTGAGAGTGGAGCTGTGAATTAGCACTTAATGCTGTTGTCCATAGGGCAGCCCACCCCTAATCTGTATACGAGCGAAGGGCAAGGAGAGGCGAGGTCCATAGGACAAAACTTACAGAGAACATGGCAAGACACATTGAGTAGGAAGAGAGAGAAGATCACTGACATTGTGGCGTTTCTGGGTCTGCGTATGGCTGTCCTTTTGCTAGGTGGGAGTCTTTGGAAATCGTGGATGGAGGTGAGGTTCTGTCTGCTGAATTGGATTAACTGTATGTTTTTCTAGTACGTGCGATAATGAGGATTTCATCAGCAAGTCTTTGTTTCAGTTACTTCTAGAGGTACTCTACATTTTTTCCTTTCTATCCTGAATTTAAAACACAAATCTTCTGTCTTATCTTCAAATAGATGTGTTTTGAACATAATTGTCATTACAAAGCATGGCTACAGATGTAAATGGTCCTTGATAGCTTGAATCAGGTTCAGTAAGTGATTGAGAATCTGTCAATGGCACTGAATGCACCTTGACAAGTTGTTTCTGTTGTAATTGCATACATGTTTATTGAATTGGCACTTCAGACAATTACTGGTTTCATTCTTGGAGTCTTTGTAAAGAGGTGGAGCTCCTCTTTGTTTTAGATATTGTGACTGGTACGTTGCAATAAAAAATCAGTGGGTTCTCAATGTGAAGTACCACTGTTCTGCTGGTGAAATGTTTGTTGGTCTGTTCACTTTGTAAAAAAAAGATAATAATAATAATAATAAATTGTTGACCAAAATTAGAGCTTGACTTGACAGCAAATAATCGACAAGCCTTGAGGGGGTAATAGGATTTTCCTGGGGAGTTTTCCAACCTGTGGTTGTGCAAACCACAGAAGAGCAGTGTGTCATTACCACTAATTGCTTGCTGCAGGGGTTTCCCTAAGCAGTGGGGAACTGCTTCCAGCATAGAGACCATCTGCAGTGCGCTGGGCTGCAGCTCCTTGCAGCTGTGATATGGGAACTGCCTCCCTGCTGACTCAGGACATGACAGACTCAGGGATGGGTGAAGCTGTTCTCTTGGGGTTGGCGTGATACATAACGAAGAAAAGACCCCTCTTCAGTAGGATATAGGAGGTGGAGGTTGTGAAAGGAGATGAGGCAGCCCTGCTGTAAGGAGCGTGATGAGGTTAATAGCAAGGAAAGAGGATATGGGGTACATCTGCTGTGCACGTGTTGCCTAGGCAGAAAAAAAATACATGGTCACCACTGCCAACATCTGCAAACTGACAAATGGAGTCCTTGGTATGCAGCAGTGTGGGGTACAGTGTGGGTGCACACATGTGTAAAAGCTCCAGGGGCAAATAAATAGCACTTAAGATTGAAATTGGAACTACGTGTCACTGGTGCAAGTTTTTGCTTCTCTCTCTCTCTTTTTTTTTTTTTTTCCCCTGAAAGTGAAAGATGTTGCTGTGCACTTTGTTGGTTTACTTCCATAAATATTTTACTGCAGTTGATTCCACGCAAGTGAAAATTCATCTGTGTTCTTAAATGAAAACTCCTTGACCAAAGCAAGAGTTTGGAATTCTGTGGTTGCTTCTTGTTTGAGACTAGATTTAAAATGCGGGCTGGACATTCAGCTTTGTGTCATTAATAAAACCATGAAGTCTTAGTTTTCTGACAGATTTTCAGCCTCTGCCCCCCCCCCCCCCCCAGCCAGGCAGAATACCTGTGGGAACGCTGGTTACAAACCTGATTTTGGTCTTGATGTTTTTAATGGGCTATTGCCATTAATTCTTCATCCAGCATTGCTTTTTGGCTTGAACAATTATTCCCCCCCAACAGCGTGTCAATGGGGAGTGGTTGTGCTTTGTCTCTTTCTTTTGCAGAGCTGGTTTACATCAGTGAATCTGCCCTTGAAGTTGGAGCACTCGCCTCCTGCGCGCAGCTCCTGAGCATGTGCTCTGCTGCAACATCTCCCAGGACACAGCTGGGAGCAGAGGAGCTTATGCAGTCTAAGTATAGGTGTAAGACACAGGGAAAGGCTAACGCGATTACGCGATTCAGCACGGCCCTGCCATACCAAGATGTGAGCTGGCTCTGGTGTAGCAGAGCTGGATCTGCAAGCAGTGCAGAAAGCTGTGACAAGTTGGATTTTCAGAGCGTTTGAAACTGCTTTAGTGGCAATCCACCCCATTCCTCTTTCCTCCATGGGAAGAACAGAGTTCTAAATGCTTTATGCTGCCATAAAGGTTCTTGCCGACTGCCTGTAGCTCAGTTCCAACTCAACCTTGACCTGTCCTCAGGCTCAAACCAGCAAAAACCCCTTGCGACTACAGTATATTGGGTGCAAGCAGTGACAGCAAGGTGGAACCTCGCACCCTTTACAAAGCTGTCCCACCTTCTCTGAAGCTGTTTCAGTGGACGCTCCTGTAGTCTGTCCTTTCATGTAGAGAGGGAAAAATTATTTTGTGCCGAGTGAACCAGGCCGTGCAGCAAACCACGCCGCACTTGCTTTCGCAGCAGCGGTTTTATAGAATAGGAAAATGGACGTTTGCAAAACAAGAGGGAAAACGCGAAAAACTTAGTGTTTCCGCCCGGTTTCGAACCGGGGACCTTTCGCGTGTTAGGCGAACGTGATAACCACTACACTACGGAAACTTGCCATGTCTGTAGCGCTCCCGGAGCTCACCTTCAGGGCAGCTCCACCGAGCGGTGGCCTTCTGCTGTTTGCGCTTTCAGCCATATCAACGCTTCAAAAACGGAGGGGGCGAACGGAGGGCAGTTTCCACCGCCACAAACCGGAGGCAGGCAGCAGCTGGTTGCCACAGGGAGGAAAAGAACCGCAGAAACAAAATAGCGCATCCGTCCCTGGGTGGGCTCGAACCACCAACCTTTCGGTTAACAGCCGAACGCGCTAACCGATTGCGCCACAGAGACCCGCTGAACAATCCACCCTGCGAGGTCGTCCTGATTACTGTGGCGTCCATATTCCTGGGTGGCTGATGAACGTTTCAAGTTTTGGTTTTTTGTTGCTTTTTTTTTTTTTTTTTTTTTTTTTTTTTTAAAAAAAAAAAACCGATTGGCTTTTTTAATCTGAAGAATTTAGGAATATTCATTCTCTCTTTTTAAATCTCCATTGTTTCTACAACCTTCTACATACAGACAGGGAAACAGCAGACAAGCAGAAGAAAACACAGCCTACAGCTGTGCCTGGGGGCAGGGAGCTGCAGGTGGAAGCCTGGTAGCCTCTCAGATTCATAAAACCCAGCAAAGACCAATGAGTGTACTCCAAGAGAGAGGAAGACAAAATTTAGCACGTGCCGATCAGTGAGTGCGTGGCTGAAGCATCCAAACGTCCCGAAGTTCTATTAAGAAAGGGCTAATTGGGACAAGGGACTTGAGGAACAGGAGCCAAAATTCATTCTCACATGTTTAACAACCCTGCCAAAGCCATCAGGCCTCAGGGAAGGCCTTACTGCTCTCTACAAGTGCCTGAAAGGAGGGTGTGGAGAGGTGGGGGTGGGCCTCAGGAAACAGCTATGGGATGGGAGGAAACAGCCTCAAGTTGCACCAAGGAAGGTTCAGGTTGGAGAGTAAGAAAAATTTCATCTCAGAACGGGTGGTGAGGTATTGGCACAGCTGCCCAGGGAGGTGGTGATGGCACCATCCCTGGAGGTGTTCAAGAGCTGTGTAGACATGGCTCTGAGGGACGTGATTAGTGGGCATGGTGGTGATAGGCTGACAGTTGGACTTGATCTTAGAGGCCTTTTCCAACCGTAATGATTCTATGGAGGGTGTATACGAGTCTACACTTCAAATCAGTAAGCGATCAAACAACCTGTGTCCTGTGACACTCGTATGTAGGACTTCCCATGTTGAATTTAGTTTGGACACTTCCACTGGAGATTTTGTGCCGAGCTGAGCAGATATTATAAGTGGAGAAACACATCCCACAAGATATTTATAGGTCTGCGCTCAGTCCTTTCCTGTTCTGTCTGAGAGCATTTCTACAAAAGATTTTCAGAGAAGGAGATTAATGTGCTGGAGGTCTCACAGTGCAACGGGAGAAACTTGCTGGCTTTGCACGTTTCCATGGGCTCCGTGGCTCTACGTGTCAGGTTTATGTTCCTCACACAGCAAGATAAGGGTTTCCAGCAGTGATGCAGCAAGCAGAGGGGATCCAGCAGCAGTGGGGGAAAAACAGCATTGCCCCTGCCTGGGGTTAGGGGCTGCACTGAGTGCAGGCAATTTCCTGCAACTCTCATTGTCAGACAGTCATACCAAAAACATTCTCACTAGCACAGCTCTTTCCTCCTTGCATGAAGAAATCAGCTTAGGAAGTCCTAGAGCTGATGCAATTACATTTCTTTTTGGTGGGGGAAGGAGAAGGAAGGGAATACCAAAGCATAGCGAGAAGGGGAAATGAGGACTGCATGTTGCTCAGCACAGAGCTGCAGGAGGAAGCTCCTGAGTCCTAAGTGGTGCCAGGGGGCAGATAGGGCTGGATGGGGCCTGGGGAGAGCAGAGTGGCAAAGAAAAGCAATGAAATTGAAGGAGAAATGGGCTGGGGAGACTGGGATGGGAGGAAAGAGAAGGTATCAGCAGCCAACTGTCGTAGGCCAGGGCTGCTAGGCTGGAAAGCCAGTGGCTCCTGCTGTTTTATTTTAATTTTTGCATTATGGTAATGTCAAACTTCATGTTAAATGCCATCCTTGAGCACAAACTTACCAAGAGTTAACTCTCAGAAAAAATCACAGTCCCAAATTATGCCAGATGTTGCTGCTCACACAGCAGTGTCTGTGCTGTCCATCAGAAACCAGCCTCTGTATGCTCACAGGCTACACTCATCAGTTCCTGACCACTGACATGCTTCTGTACATTTGCTTGTACCCAAGTTACGTGATCTTCTTATCAATTACTTCAGGTGATAACAATTTGCATGATAGTGAGGTTGGGTAAAGCCACAGCTGTAGGTGAATTTCCCATCTCAAAAAGGAGCAGATGGGTTTTTTCCTGGAAGGACATGTGCACTTTGATGAGGATGTTTTCCAGCTGTCTGATAGAATCGTAGTTTCATAGATCATAGAATGGTTGGAAGAGACCTTAAAGCCCATCCTATTCCAACCTTGCACTGTGGGCAGGGACAGCTCCTACCAGCTCAGGCTGCCCAGGGCCCATGCAGCCTGGCCTTGAGCACCTTCAGGGATGGGGCACCCACAGCTTCTCTGGGCAGCCTGAGCCTCACTGTCTTACAGAAGACACCACGAGCCTCCTGCATCTCGTGTTCCCCTGTCACCTCTTCCCTAGGATCAAAGCTGGGGCAGGAGACGCCACAATAACTCTTTTCATCCGTATTGGGCTCAGACTAGGGAAACTGCAACTTGAAGGGTTGAGCTTGTAAACCTGAGGGTTGGCAGCTGCCACCATCTTCCAGAGGGAAGTGTTGTCTCACATTTCTCTAGGCTTCACCTGAAACTAAGAGGATGCAATGAGGGACGCTGTATGCTGCAGCTGCGCTGTGCTGGCAGACACCCAAGGATGGGGTGCTGCTCTGCTCCCACAGGGTTGTAGGAAGTATTTCACGATCTGAGATAACTCAGACCCTCACTTCCTCCTTCTGCACTCACAGGGCTGAGCTGCTGCCACGGCTGCACTTCTGCCCACTGCCTGCTCACAAAATGGATCAGGAGACCCTGGGGAGCGTCGTCCTGCTTGCCATTGTCACCTTGAT